AATCCTTGCTGTAATGTGAGGAGGGGGGTGGCGGTGGCAGGTGAAACTTGAGTCTACAAATATAAGGTTCATGCAAGTTAAAATCGGTTGCTCATGTGTTCAGAGAATATTCTAACCATTTTAGGTGCCCAAATATAAATATTTATATAAATTTTTTTATTTTTTAGATCTTTAGACATAACGTAATGGTTGAATTGTAAATATTTCAATATTGTTGTAATCATTAATATCGCCTTTTTTTATTTTAAGCATATTTAATTATTAATATCTTGAAATAGTTTATTACAGTATTAATAATGATGGTACTATTTGCTTTGTTCTAATCCAGACCATACTTCAAACTAAATCAATATTTCTTCTGATGCAATCAATTTAATATACTACACTTGTTTGCATTTTTTAGTTATCAAATGCTGAAGATTTGTTAGCTAGCCATGACAATAAATATAATGATAATGCGCATCACCCGTCGCCGGGTCGCGAGTTTTTGCCATTTTTAGAGTCCCGACCATTTAACACTCATAGTGGTGAATGCACAGGAAACGACCACTATGATTTTGGCCAATCAGCGACTGACAGTGATGAGGCTAGCGAGGAATTCGACATGGTCACTACCCAGAAGCATTTAACTGGAGATATTCATTACACTAAAGAAAGTGAGCATGGAGATGCATCTTCCATTAAACAAGATTCAAAAAAAGAAGTTTCAAGCAGACACACCAACAATGTGGTCAAAACCTTAGCACAATCCAATAAAGAAAACAAATGCATAAAACGTAGAAGATGCATACCGAAAGCCCATACTCCAGAAAGTAACAACCAAAAACTATGGTGTCTCTGTCAAAAAGAAGATGTTGGAATCTATATTTTGTGCGATGAAAAGAAAGAAGGTTGTCTGGAGTTTTATCATCCAGAATGCGTTGGTTTACCTCATCTTAAAACAAAGAAACAACTCGAAAAATACAGTAATTGTATAGACGGCAAATCTTATATCTGTCCTATTTGTGCTAGCAAAAAATCCCGCAATAAATACCGTCCACAAGAACTGCTGTCACTTTCAAACAAAGAAACTGATGACAATGATCCAATGCACGTTTTTTGGCACAAATGATATTCACGAGGAGGGTGTCCTGGAGTCACATGGAGAAATGGAAGACGTGGTCGATAACAGAGAATGTAATGTACTTTTACATCCTTCTTCACCGTGCATTGATGAAAAAGATGAAAACATATGTATTTCAGATCGTGTATCTTACAGCATGGAAAGTAGTCCGTCGATTGAGAAAGTCATTTATCACTCTGACGAATTTCAAAATGTCATTCCTATGATTATAAGGAAGAGGAAAAGTACAACTGACTGACTTCTCAAGCAAGTGGCGCGATGATTGTAATGATAAAAAGTATCATCTCCCTCAGCATTTTTGCAAAACTTGACAATGTTGATAAAAGACCTTCTACTTGTGAAAGTGATTCTAGCGATGGGAGCCGATGAAAATATCAGAAGATGAAGATAATATGGATAATGTTTGTGCTAAAGCAACATCTTCACCATTCAGCGATGTTGAATCGTATGAGATGTCTTCCAAAGAAAAGAACGTTGGCAAAACATATGCTAATATTACCCCAAACAATAATTGCAACACATCAAACTATTGCTCCGATGAGCACGAAACTTTCCAGAGAATGATGGACTGCCCATATTTGCCACGACCAAATACATTCTTTATAGCCGATGTTTGTAGGTCTGCAACATTTTTTGAGTGAAGCAGAGTGGTCAAGGATCAGACCTACCACGGAAAAACCAAACACTCTTCGGTGCCCATGGACGGATATCATGATGGATCACATGAAAAAATCCAACGCCTACTGCACCTTCCAATTCGAAAGGCATTTCATCGCTAAGGAAAATTCGAGGAAAAGAAATACGCCGATTGTGTTTAATGCTACAGGTCACTGCATCTTTGCAGATTGTTCTTGCAAGTTTGTATTGCAAATCTTTCGCAAAGACTTTCTTCCCAAGAAAGTTACCGTAACTTATGACGGATCTGTGAAACACGCTGCTGGAGAGCGCCAGTCTAGGTTCATAAAGAGTGACAAACGTAAGCAACTGGCAAATCAATTTCACAAAGGACCTGGCCAACCTTCAAAAGTGTACCAAGAAATAAAAGAGGAATATCGGTAAATGCAAAGGCAGCTGGAAATAGAAATGAATGTGGTAAAATTCCAGATACTGTGAGAAAATAGCCAGTGAAGGAAGACAACAAACTCAGCTGGACAAAGACGTCATGACTTCCTTGAAGATGGCTATGGATGATTTAATTCAGCGAGAAAAACAGCGCGAGATGCCTCCCAAACAGATTGAAGGATTTGTTCAAGCAATTTCATTTTGTCCACTTTGGGTATATATGTGGAATGAAGATCAGGTGCGTCTTTGGCATTACTTATGCATGAAAGATATTGCATACATGGACGCAACCGGAACGATTGTGCAAGATTTCATGGGCAAAAGAGTACTTTATTATGCAATTATTGTTCGACACCCAAAGAAAGGAAATCCATCAGTGCCGATTGCCGAAATGATAACAAATGATCACAGTGCTCCCAGCATACGTTCCTTTATTGAGAGGTTTCGTCGAGATGAGGCAAACGTTTTCAAAGGAAACGTTCGAATACCTCGTCAGTTAAATACAGATTACTCAAAGGCGTTGATATTGGCTGCTCTGAAAGAGTTCAACGGAGAAACCCTTGCTCAGTTTTACTTCGAGCATTCAGGATTGTGCAGAGGATGGCATCAAACGAAGATTTTGCATTTATGGTTTTACATGTTGGCTGCAGTCATTTCATGAACATAATTCATAGGCGTTTGAAATCAATTATGCGTATCAAAGTCAGTACGACAAACGAGGTGTGGTATCGCTTTAACATGTATTGTGTGTCGCTGTTGGTAAACTCTAGAACCCAAGAAGAATTTGATCATATTCTTCTACCTGTTGCAATTTGCCTGCTTCATAAGACTCAAAATGATGAAGTCCAAAACGCGTTCAGCACCTTATGGAAATTGATCCATGCAATGGAGGAACGAGAACAAATCCTTGAACATGTTGAAGTGCATGGAGTCTTTTCAAATGCAGGCGATGATGATGCCGATCTTACTGAAACAGACAGAAATACAAGTCAAAATCCATTCAAAAATCATTACGATAGCTTGCTACGAAATGTCAAAGAAAGAGCGATGGAAGATGCAAAACATAGCAAGGCAAATAATAGATGCTACGCACCAGAATTTTTTGCATTCATAGAATCTTATCTTTGTGAGATGCCTTTGTGGTCTGGTGTACTTTTAGGTTCATTAGACCGATACATAGAGGAGAACGATCCAGTTTACGAAACATTACACGACTATCCGTACCTTTCATTTAAATCAGAAAACTCAAAAACAGAGGGCTATGTGGAAGGTGTCATGCGAAACTTAAAACAAGAAGATTTTCCAAACAAAAGAAGACTGCGTCCTGATGCATTTGTTTTGGAAAATTATGACAGAATTAGGCGACGAATGACAGATTTCTCGGATAGACTAACTGCTAATAAACCTACCAGAAAACAAAGACGTCCAATAAATTCTTCGAAAAATTTTCAGACGCAAACATCGGACAAAACATCTGCACAAGAAATCGATATAAAAGAAAATACAAAAAGAAGCGAAAGCAATACTATCGTAAGTTCAGATGACACTTCAGATGATGAAGTTGATGATTATTCACAAGTCAGTGAAACATGGGGGAAAAAGACTCCATCGACACCAAAAACTAATGCTAAAGTTGGACAATTCCAGCAGTCACCGGCAATTCCGTTAAGCGAAACTCCAGAAATCAATAAATGTACACAGAGTAGACGTCCACCGTCATCATTCTTAAATTTTTTAAAGGTAGTAAGAAAAAGAGCTTCTAAAATCGCCCTAACGCGTTTTTAACGAAAGAGGCAGCTAAATTATGGCTAGATATGTCGGCAGAGGACAAGTTCCGCTTCAAGGATACAAGTATGTTGACGAAAAACAAACAAAGTAAAGACAGCGAGCGTACGAAATCCAGCAAATCCATTGGTGCGTCGCACAAGATGCACGTGTCTTTGCTAAGAAAAGAATTAACAAGAGGTTTAATCAATAAGGGTAACGATTGCTGGTTGAACAGTCTTCTGCAATGTTTGCATGCATTAAAAGTTGAATACCCCGAAACAACGACAAAATGTAATCCAACTGTAGTGAAAGTACTGAATAAAACCTTGCGAATATTAAAAAACACGAATGACAAACCTTTGTATCCACAACAGCTGCACGACATTTTTAATAAGTATTTTGGTTATGCGAGTGGCCAACAACACGATATTCACGAGAGTTTTATAGTTTTGCATGAACATTGTGACGCAGGCTCCTTTAGAGGAACGTACAAATATAGAAAAATTTGTGATGTATGTGGAAAAACTCGGTTGCATGATGAGGAAACCTTCATGACGCTTTTTGCTTCCGTTGACAATGGCAACAAAACCTTAACAGAAAAAATCGAAGAGAGTTTAATCGATTCTGTATTTACACACTGTAGCACATGCAGTGTGAGGACGAATCACGTTCGCATAGGTGAACTCAAAACACTGCCTAAAATTTTATGCCTTGGTTTCAAAAGATTTGTTTCAAATGGATCAGGAGTTACGAAGAGTTGTCAGAGAGTTCCACTGCCATTAAAATTAACATTGCAGAATGATGGTGCATCGGCCACTTATCAATTATCCTCATGTGCATTGCATTACGGCTCAGGTATTGATGTTGGCCATTACACAGCTGTAATATTCAAAGATGGAAGAGTTTATGAGGTCGACGATACATTCGTCTCTGATATATCACAAAAGTGGAAGCAAAGGTGTCAACTTATGCGTACATAGCCTTTTACTCCGCTGAAAATTTTAGTGACAAAGGTTATGGAGACGAACGACAGTCGTCAACCCAACTCAGCGATGATAGTGACAATGAGGACATACCCCGAAGTACAAGCTCACCAAATTTTGTGGGCTCTGTTCATAGCACAAGTGCGCCAACCGCACAAACGAATAGTAGAGATGTCCAATCAAAGGTCGATAGTTTGCCTCCGTCAATTGCACAAAAATATAAGAAAATGTGCAAGGTATTTCACTCACTTTGTGATCTCAATGTAAGAAATGAACGTGTTGCTTCATTTAAAACACACGGATACAATCTTCTGGGAAAAGATATCAAAACTCTTGAACCTTTGGAAAAGGGTTTTTCAAACGATACATATGTTCTTTCCAACCCTGGATGGCTCAATGATGAGGTTATAAATTGTTACCTTCTATTGCTAACAAAAAATACGGAAAAGTTTGGATTGCGTAGTTTTGCATTCACGACACAATTCATGACAAAACTTCGATCCGTACGCCAGCCGAACAATAAAGAGCGCTTTCATGAAATGTTAAGGAGGCACTACCGAGGTGTTTTGTTTCATCTTTACGACGTGATTGCAATTCCTATAAATGTTGGACAAGGTAGTCACTGGTGTATGGCAATAATCAACACTGTTGAATGTTGCATTTATTTGTACGACCCAATGGCAAGAGGCAGTCAATATCTAACATTGGTAGATAATATAAAATTTTACTTCAAAGAACTTTACCGAATGAGAGGTCAATGTATCGAAATAGCAAACAAAATTTCGTGTCGGAATTCTCGGCGCATTGGGAAGACAAATTTCCAGCGCAGAATGATGCCATTAGCTGTGGTGTTTTGTCCTGGCTTATGCTCGTTATAGAATGGGCTTATATGATCATAGTCCAAATATTTTTTTGATAAACGCATTGCGACCAATAATTGCTAATGAGCTGTACATTAATGAACTCGTTTTCATTTCAAAAACAATATTTCCTCGTGACGTTAGATGTTGTCAAATACCAACGTCTTACAAGCAAAATGTCGGTCGTCTCGTAACTCTTAAATGTTTTGTAATGGGGAAATACCTAGACAGTTCCAATGGAAACACAATGATAACATTGTTTCATTAAATCAAACTTATAGCTTTACATTGGAATATCATAATTGTGGTGAGTACGTTTGTTATGTTCTTTTCAACGACGAGCAAACACATCTCACAAACACATGTATTGTTACCGCTTTATGAAAATCAATTAATGAAGAAACTAACTGTATGTCTTGCATATACCGATAAATTCATTGTTGATGCACAACTGGCTGCTCTAATGCGCCGTTGCTGCAGAAATGTCAGACAACGCAACTGGCTGCTCTAATGCGCCGTTGCTGCAGAAATGTCAGACAACGCAACTGGCTGCTCTAATGCGCCGTTGCTGCAGAAATGTCAGACAACGCAACTGGCTGCTCTAATGCGCCGTTGCTGCAGAAATGTCAGACAACGCAACTGGCTGCTCTAATGCGCCGTTGCTGCAGAAATGTCAGACAACGCAACTGGCTGCTCTAATGCGCTGAGAGACGTCTCGTATTATATCACGAGAAAATGCGGCTGTCCATGTCGGAATTGCACCACCCTATCGCGGTGTGGTTCCTAGGCATGCTGATGAGCCCTGATATTGGGCGAAACAGTCACATTCTTTAAAGAATAGAAAAAAATGAAATAGATTAGATTCAAAGTCGAAGCATCGTATAGTTACGCTATTTTGTATTAGTACTTCACTATGATGAGTCATTTCTACGATAGGAGTGAGGTCAGCTACTTTTAAAAGCAAATTAGAGCTCTGTCTCTTTCTGTCTATGTCTAATAAAGCTATCTTTCTGGTAAGATAGCTTTATTAACTTGTGTTAAAAGGCGTTGAAGGGCAACAAAAGTCAGAAAGTAAGGACATCCTAGAATATATTAGTACCAGTTGCGAAATTGTATGTTGTATGTACGAGATCAAAATGGACACTTGCACGCTTCATTTGTACGATTTTTATTGTGCGCTCGTTCGCTACGCTCACTCGTTTGTTTTCAATCCTCTTCTACTCGTGCATAAAAATCGTACGCACTCACCAACCATGAAGGAATATATTAAAATCACGTGTTAACCCTGACCATTTTACAATAAAGATGTCATTCTGATGTCGAAACATGTTTGTCATCGAAAGATGTCGTTCTGATGTCGAAACATGTTTGCGCTTAAAAATCGTCGTGTTTCTCAAATTGTAATGTTTTATTGACAAATAACTTTAAAACACCAACACTATTCTGGAGTTTTGATTTTTCGTGCTATTATTATATTCTCCTACATTATTTAAATTTCGAACCTATGAATATGTTTATTTTTTTGCAACATATTATTTTTTTAGTGATTTACAATGTCTTCAAACTTGACAGCTGACATTGTCTTTTGTTTCATAGCTAGTTTGTCGATGAATGACGATGACGCATGCAAATGCGTGCACCAAGGGTTAATCGTTCTTCGACACAAACAATAGAAATAAAATCAGTTTATCGTGTTTTGTTTCTTCAATCACTGCAAAAACAATATTAAAATTTTTTTGATTTGAAATCTGCCAAACCGACATTCTGTGCGTCATCGTTGAATAACAAAATACGTCACAAAGTTGTTGCATTTTCCAGTCGATGTCAAGTATGCTGACTTTGGAAATTACTTTTTATCAGCAAAAAAAAATAAAACATGCTACCTTTTGTTAGTTTTTCTACAAAATATCAGCAACAGCCTACTCGGATCGGTTCAGAGATCATTTTAATGTTTTTGTAGAAGACGAAACTCTTACCAAAAATTCTGTAACTTCCCTACCAAACAACACAACTGAAATTTTCTCCGGCAGTTGGAAATCTTCAAAGGAGTGGCCTTTGCTTTGCCGCCTTTTCTCTTTAGTTCACTAATTAGGAATGCGATTGGTCCATCATAAAGAAGTAGTAATGCGATTGGTCCATCAAAAGAGATACAAATGAAGAAGCCAGTGTTAATATCACGCGTCATAATTCTCATTCACTTTTGTTGAGTGTGCCGTGGTAATAACAGATTAGAAGTGTGTACGGAAAATGTAAGTGAACAATCCTTTATAGCAACTAGATTGTTTCAATAATTTTACCCAAAGTAAAATAAGTATATATATTTAGACACAACCATATGCATATTTTGATTGTTTTTATGCTTGGGATTGCCTTATTCTCTACCAAAAGTTTTATACATTAATACGCTGCATCACATGGTACTAAAGCATAAATATTTAAGCTTTCTCCGGAGGCGAAACTATAATGATATTTTTTATTGTATTTATGATTCCATTTTTATGTAATGTGTCACTGCTTGAACGTTCGTTTACTCGTATAAACGCATGAGCATCGCCGCGTTTACACATGTCGGTGCCCAAGGCATTTTCTCATTGCGGTACCCCATGACGCATTGCTACTTCCTTTTAGCATGGATCGCGGGGCACATGGCATATTTGCCACTGTGCGATATCGGCGCTGGGCATAAGACGATAAGTTTGTTCACGCTGTACAACTAATGATAAACATTATTTTCTATTTAGAAATGGCCGAAAAAGAAGCACAAAATGGTAAAACGATAAGTAACATTTTTTGCAAAGTTTCTTAGTTTTCTGCATTAAGTGAAAAGAAATATTTCAACTTGTCTTTATGGCAAAGTGTACAATGTTCAACAATAGTTGATTCAATTCTATTACATCACCATCAACCTTACTTAAACGTGCTTATGCTAAAGAATAGTCGCAAAAGAATTGTGTTTATTAACATGCATGTTATCCAATCAGTTTAATGTGTGTTCTTTGTTCCAGATACTCAAAACAAACGAGAGAGGGGTAAAGGTGAGCCAGTTCTTCGGAATAGATATAAAATTTCAAAATGTTAATAGCTAAATACATTTGCATAAAGATGACTCAAACCTACAAAAAATATCTCTTTTTTTATGAATCGTCTTAATCAGAAGAAGAAAATCGAAAGAAGCGAAAAGGTTTGTTGCATAATTTGTACAATATATCGACTAAGAGTGTTTTTTGTACTTGTGCTTAACATAGTACTTATACATGTATGATAATTGAATATCTTTATGATCGTTTTTCATGTTAAGCGAACGCCAATGAATATAGTATAAAAAGCTGTTCCGCAACACTGTAAAATTCACTATCGCTTTTTATAACAACCATCTAAATGCATGGTTGAGAACAGGTTTCCAATTCTAATACATTTTTTTTGTATTTTGTTGGGCATGGAAAATCTCTAACGTCTTTATCGTTCGCAACTTTTTAGCAGACGTCGAAAACAAGCAAGAAGAAATAAGTGAGTTTAAACTAATGACACACTTGTTCGCACAAATTATATGTTGATTTTATTACTTTATTATTTCAGAATGTAACACATGCAATGACGTGGGCACGCCCCGAAGATTGCCCAACCAAACCGCGTCGAGGGGCGGGTGCCAGGAGAGGCCGCGGCGGACGGCGTGGTCGTCCCCAATGGCGAGGTCGCGGAATTTGGCGGAAGGGGCGTGGGGCGTGGAAGGGCGTGGCCAAGGGCGTGGCGGCGTTGTTATCAATATATTTACAAGGTAGAACGATTTTCATTAAACATATATCAAACAAAAAGATTAAAATTTACTTCATCAATTAAGTAGTGAAGCTTTTTAAACTATATTCGCACAGAATAAAAAGAAAACATTCTGATTCTGACTCTATTCGATCAATCAAAAACAAAACTTATTTCAAAACAATGCAAAAAATAAATATGATTTTCTTTTGTTATCTCACATTGTTCTTACCATCTTTGCAGGGACTAAGGAGGTTAGAAAGTCTTAACGAAAGAGGAAAAAAAGTTTAAAAATCGCCAAAAAAATAAAAATTTTGAAAAGTATCTTTCCTGTGTCCAATCATTATTACAAACAGCTATTCATTATCAATCAATTAAATTCGCCCGGATGGAGGGCAAATTCAGGTCCCCGTTGTATTGCGACCTTGTTTCGTGAAGCACTAAAAAAGTATACACGAAGAAGCCCAAACCATTGTGCCATCTGACATCCAGCTTTTGTTTGGCTCGTTCTTTAATAAACTGCATGTAAGTTTTTAAGTTCTTAAGGAAATTTATTAACTAAAACGTTAAAAAATGTTTTTTACGAGCTGTTATTGTAATTACATGTTGTTTATAAGCTATATGATATGTCCATTCAAAGAAACAACAAACAAAACATTTTTCTTCCTAATTGTAATCCTCAGAACAAGATCTTTAAGACGATACTAAACACAAGTAAATTGTAGCGTGTTAACTTCATCAAAATTAGATATATATAAACATGTCAGTTAAGTACCGCGAATATTAATTAACGCAAAAATGCTCTACCTTTCCAAAGCTGTAGATTCGCTCCTGGAATTTCGGCCACAATAATAAAGACATATTTGTAATCCTCAGAACAAGATCTTTCAGACGATACTAAACACAAGTAAATTGTAGCGTGTTAACTTCATCAAAATTAGATATATATAAACATGTCAGTTAAGTACCGCAAATATTAATTAACGCAAAAATGCTCGACCTTTCCAAAGCTGTAGATTCGCTCCTGGATTTTCGCCCACAAAAATAAAGACATATTTGTAATCCTCAGAACAAGATCTTTAAGACGATACTAAACACAAGTAAATTGTAGCGTGTTAACTTCATCAAAATTAGATATATATAAACATGTCAGTTAAGTACCGCGAATATTAATTAACGCAAAAAGTCTCCACATTTCTCAAGCTGTAGATTCGCTCCTGGAATTTCGGCCACAATAATAAAGACATATTTGTAATCCTCATAGCAAGATCTTTAATCTGATACCAAATACGAGTATATTGCAGCGTGTTAACTATTTCAAAACCCGGCATATTTAGACGTTAGTGAAATAATGCAACATGACAACTTGCCTATTAATTAACGCAAAATGCTCTACCTTTCCAAAGCTGTAGATTCGCTCCCGGCCACAATAATAAAGACATATTTGTAATCCTCAGAACAAGATCTTTAAGACGATACTAAACACAAGTAAATTGTAGCGTGTTAACTTCATCAAAATTAGATATATATAAACATGTCAGTTAAGTACCGCGAATATTAATTAACGCAAAATGCTCGACCTTTCCAAAGCTGTAGATTCGCTCCTGGAATTTCGGCCACAATAATAAAGACATATTTGTAATCCTCAGAACAAGATCTTTAAGACGATACTAAACACAAGTAAATTGTAGCGTGTTAACGTCATCAAAATTAGATATATATAAACATGTCAGTTAAGTACCGCGAATATTAATTAACGCAAAATGCTCGACCTTTCCAAAGCTGTAGATTCGCTCCTGGAATTTCGGCCACAATAATAAAGACATATTTGTAATCCTCAGAACAAGATCTTTCAGACGATACTAAACACAAGTAAATTGTAGCGTGTTAACTTCATCAAAATTAGATATATATAAACATGTCAGTTAAGTACCGCGAATATTAATTAACGCAAAAATGCTCGACCTTTCCAAAGCTGTAGATTCGCTCCTGGAATTTCGGCCACAATAATATAGATATATTTGTAATCCTCAGAACAAGATCTTTAAGACGATACTAAACACAAGTAAATTGTAGCGTGTTAACTTCATCAAAATTAGATATATATAAACATGTCAGTTAAGTACCGCGAATATTAATTAACGCAAAAGTCTCCACATTTCTCAAGCTGTAGATTCGCTCCTGGAATTTCGCCACAATAATAAAGACATATTTGTAATCCTCAGAACAAGATCTTTAAGACGATACTAAACACAAGTAAATTGTAGCGTGTTAACTTCATCAAAATTAGATATATATAAACATGTCAGTTAAGTACCGCGAATATTAATTAACGCAAAAAGTCTCCACATTTCTCAAGCTGTAGATTCACTCCTGGAATTTCGGCCACAATAATAAAGATATATTTGTAATCCTCATAGCAAGATCTTTAATCTGATACCAAATACGAGTATATTGCAGCGTGTTAACTATTTCAAAACCCGGCATATTTAGACGTTAGTGAAATAATGCAACATGACAACTTGCCTATTAATTAACGCAAAAATGCTCTACCTTTCCAAAGCTGTAGATTCGCTCCTGGAATTTCGGCCACAATAATAAAGACATATTTGTAATCCTCATAGCAAGATCTTTAATCTGATACCAAATACAAGTGTATTGCAGCGTGTTTACCGTATAAAAACCGTACTATCTTGAATCCTGTGGTACCTTCACAGTCCACTTTGCATGGCTGTAGATTCGCTCCACGAATTTGAGCCACAAAAGTAAAGATATATTTGAAATCCTCAGAAAACGTACTTTCGGATGTTACCAAACACAAGTATTTTCCAGCGTGTTTATTTCTTGAAAATTAGGCCTTTTTAGATGTCAACATTTATGCATTGTAAACATCGCGCAATTATTTAACGTAAAGAGACAAAAGCGGAAGTAGTCTTTAAAAGGCTGTAGATTTGCTCCAAGACTTTCGACCAAAATAAAAATAGTATAATCCTTGTCTAAATAACTTGGTCTTTACAACGGCACCAAACACGTGTGCATCTTTTGCTTTTTTGTAGCAAAAAATACGGTTTTTTTCTATTTTGTTTCTGAAACTGATGTTATTTAATAATATTAAAATGAATGTGGTGTCAACTTCACACTTTATGCTAATTTTGAATGTTGTGGTGAATCCTGTGGTGAATGTGAGGATGAATGTGAGGATGAATGTCAGGATGAATCCTGTGGTACCTTCACAGTAGTGAATTATTCCTTGCCCAAGTTCTGTGTTAATTTAAACAAAATCAAAATAGCATGTACTTACGATGTAAACGTTGATCAGCTCGTTGTACCAAATATATATTCTTTCTTGGGTGAAAAATTTTAATAGCTAAAGATCGACTTGCCACTTGTAATGAAGTATTAAGAAGACACGTGCAAAATAGTATTCTGAGCCCGCAAAGTTCCTTAACGTCTACAACGATTCACGTTTCTTTTATTGCATATTTCGCCAACTGTGTCGCATCGGTCGCATCCGCGTCATAACGTTATCAAACTATAAATTAAAATTGATTTTTATCAACGCTGACACAGCGAACGCATATTGATATAAATGTTCAGAAAAAACGAACGGCGTGATTTTTGTATTCGACATTGATACAACGTTAAGGTTCATCTTAACGTTCAACCGACGTTGAAACAACGTCAGACAATAATGACGGGCACGCGACCAAAAAATCACCTTAAACTAAGGTTCATCTTAACGTTCAACCGACGTTGAAACAACGTCAGACAATAATGACGGGCACGCGACCAAAAAATCACCTTAAACTAAGGTTCATCTTAACGTTCAACCGACGTTGAAACAACGTCAGACAATAATGACGGGCACGCGACCAAAAAATCACCTTAAACTAAGGTTCATCTTAACGTTCAACCGATAATGAAACAACGTCAGACAATAATGACGGGCACGCGACAAAAAAATCACCTTAAACTAAGGTTCATCTTAACGTTCAACCGACGTTGAAACAGCGTCAGACAATAATGACGGACACGCGACCAAAAAATCACCTTAAACTAAGGTTCATCTTAACGTTCAACCGACGTTGAAACAACGTCAGACTATAATGACGGGCATGCGACCAAAAAATCACCTTAAACTAAGGTTCATCTTAACGTTCAACCGACGTTGAAACAACGTCAGACAATAACGACGGGCACGCGACCAAAAAATCACCTTAAACTAAGGTTCATCTTAACGTTCAACCGACGTTGAAACAACGTCAGACTATAACGACGGGCATGCGACCAAAAAATCACCTTAAACTAGGGTTCATCTTAACGCTCAACCGACGTTGAAACAACGTCAGACTATAACGACGGGCACGCGACCAAGAAATCACCTTAAACTAAGATTCATCTAAACGTCTAACCGACGTTGAAACAACGTCAGACAATAATGACTGGCACGCGACCGAAAAATCACCTTATACTAACGTTCATTTTAACATTCAGACAACGTTGTTTCAACGTTACAACATAACTTCCTTACCTAATGTTAATGTCAATGTTCAACTAACACAACGTGGTTAAAATTTGAATAAGATAAAAACGTGATAAGAACGTTGAATTAACGTTATGTCATAACGTAACGTAAGTACAACCTTCAGCCAAAGTTAAGAAAACGTCGTGTGCTGGCTGGGCAAAATCATACGACAGTTTTTTCATGATTGCACAATTTTCAGTTATTTCGCTGATTCACAAAATGATAGCGACTTAATGCAAAACATTTTAATTTCAAATTGTAGGCCATTCATTTGGGTGGATACACTGCAAACCATTTTTACTTTATTTAGTGAAATTAGGAAAAATAATGAATGGGACAAAACAAAATAAACCTTCTCAACAATATAACTAAATTTTTTAATTTATTTTAAAAAAAATTAAAAAAAATATTCACGACATTCAAAGTCCCTACTCTACGAACACTATTCAGTTAAGAATATTCTAGAATATGTATAATGAATTAAAAATCTCAACCTTAACTCATTCGTGTTAATATAGCCAGTAGAGACTGTACGGACTGTAGAGTGTGTATAGCCTGTATAGTGTGTACAGCCTGTATAGTGTGTTTAATATGCATCTCTCACTCACTTTTTTATTGACGGAATTTCAACTATTTAGCTATAAACAAAACAGGCACAGTTTTGGTACAGTTTTTTACATGGACAATATATCCGGTGAATTTTGAGATTGTTAAAAATCTTGAAATGCAACTCAGTAACTACAAAACAAAAATGACAGTTAAAAAGTACTAGCTTAATTCTACATTGCTTAGCAATGTTGTAAACAAGCAAATTTTTGCATATAGTGGCTGCTAATTAGGCGATTATCACAGTATGAAATTTACGAATCAATTTATTTCGAACGTATTTAGATAACTCGAATCGCTTTTCTGGGTAGAATATAAAGCCAACCGTCTTTACTTGGAAAAATTAGGAAGGCATTTCAATAAGATGCAACGAAATCAACATTGTCAACGCACTGTTCCAAATGAAAGGAAGCTCAAGTGAAATTCGGGCGAATTCCGCTCGTGCCCATAATGATTTTGCGTGAAATTCAATCAAAACGTTTAAAATTCACCAGAGTTGATAAACTTTGTCTCTTTAAAAAATTTTTGTTATATTAGTCGTTGTTCTTTGCGTTCATTTGCATTTATTTCCCATGTATTTCATCAGTCGCACCGTCGTCAGTCATACCATGATACTCCTGTCATCAATGCGAATCAGGTGGTAATTATTAAATCCATATGACGTCTTGAAGATGAATTGCGTAAGTAATCACTTTCGTCTATTCAATGAGGAAAATTAAGCTTTTTTTCCAGTATGAAAAACCAAACGTTGGTAGTCGACAAAGATTTTCCAAACAGTACATTTTAACAGTACATTTTATCCTGGCTGCGTGTGAGTATATTTGCTGTGGCAGTCCTCTCTCCCACGCAAGGTATCCTTGCGGGGCATTTTAAAAGTAGCTATCAGAAGAAAAGTTTTTTATAACATATAACACCCGCAAGGATATTTTGAAATTGTTAACATTTTTAAGCATATGTCTACGTTGCAGTTAGAGGTTTTAATCTGTTAAAGACGAAATTGGTGACGAAGTGATTGATTGCAAAAGAAAAGGTACGTTACATAGACTAAGTGCTGTTTGATTTGTGTTGTAATGCATTAGTAAACATTTCAGAGCACATAATCATAGTGCCAGAAAAATTTCCAGCGTTGAAAGGTTAGATTCAATAGCAAAGAGCCTGTCTCTGTATCCTTTATCCCCCTGCATGCGCCAATCTCAAGAAAAAAATTCAAAAGAGTGGTTCGTTGGGCAACCGTGAAAAAAGTAGAAAAATTATTTGAGGCGATGTAACTACCATCTTGAACTCCATATCATTTGAGGTTTTATTCGCAACATCATTCCTTAATTCTTGAAGCCCATAATGACCCACGCTTTACCTTTCCTAAAAATTGAGAAACAGGAAAGTTTATTAAACAGATGTGAAAAATTGCACAATACGAACTAATGCAGTCAGCATTCTATGACTAAAATCAATATGACTCGCCACATTAAATGTTTCGTTAAGGTCCAATCTTTCTGCGTTACTCAGCTGAATGAACGTTTTCGCATAAACAAACAGCTTGTCCCTAATAATGTGATTGTGTAATTTTCAACGTTTTTTATAAAACTCACATCTTTAGATAACAAATGACTTATTAGGACTATGACAAGCTATTCTTCTAGAATGGCGAGAACATCATCATTGCATGACAATAATTATTTGAGAGGGGGTGGATAAAGAAACCTTGTATAACTAAAGTGCATTTCTCGCCGTTTTAATAGCTTCACTCAATAGCAGCTGCCTGAGTATTTATTTGACAATAATCTTGATATGTGTATTTCAAATCCTTTTCTCATGAACCTTGCAGTTCCCAAAAGCGTTATTTTCTCTATTACTGCATAACCTTTAAACCAATACTTAATTTTTCTATTATTAACACAAAATAAGTACCAACAGGCCTTAAACAAAAACAGTTTTAACTTCCTTTATTTACCATTTCTTTCGAATATCTCTTTTTAAGGACTCATATCGATAGTTCTGCTATCACAAAGACACGGGTTATCTTTAATTACACATGTTTGCTGTTGTTTGTCGGTGAAAACAATATCAGGCTCTCTGAGCTCAAAAATGTTATTGCATTAGATTAAGTAGTTCCATAACATTTTGGTCCTGTACCAATAATATTGCAATTATTTTCTGTTCCAACCAGCTCCTTGCTCTATCACTTCCATGCTAACCACACATTTCCCATTACGTACATTACGCTTCCATTTCATCTTTTCAACACTTCCTTTACACTTCTTTTACATTTTTCCCAAGACAAACTACTTTTGAGCTTTTCTTCTAATTTATCCTTGTACCAATTCCTTCTTTCTTTCCATTCCATAACTAAAGACTGAGTCATTCAATGCACTGTGGAGCGCGTGGTCACGTTTTCTTACATAACTTGCTCATGTCATCTTGCATCCAGCCAGCAGGGGTTGCAAATAATTCTTTTACATTCTCCCTGCAGTTGGCGCTTATTCTGATCCACAACTCTTCCGATTTTTTTCTATGCTCTCAATTTACCGTCTGCTTGACAGTCATTTTCACTATTTTCTTATATTCTACAAGTATTTGGGTTTTTCATCTTTGTTGGTTTAAGTTTGTTTCCAAACTAAACTTCCAATCTAATCTTTCTTCCAATTTTTTTATTTCATAAATTGAAGTCAACCTCTTATCCAATACTCGTTTGTTTCAAATACTTGTTTCTCTGTGCCTCTTTAATCCATTTATTGTTTGACGTTGTCAATTAACATGCTACCCGTACTTCGATCTTAAACTTCCTTAATATTTACTGTACTTGATCTTATTGTAAACTTCCTTAAAATTATATCGTGCAAATATATTCTAACAAGTTCTCTCTTCACAATAACATGTTTCACACATTATATCATCTTATTGACATCTACCAAATGCATGCTCCGAAATCAACATATTTTCAACGCTAGGCCCTTTCTCTATTTGCTGTGGTGCTATTGGTCTACCATTAAACATCTCTACCTCCACTCTTGTTTTCCCTCTTCTTCTTTATTTAATTGATTCGGTTATTCTCATCCCTCCTTTTTTCCAAACTTCTTATTTTTTTCTCTTAAAACGTTGATTACACGAGCCCGGTAGCCGGGATTCAGCGAAGCGTTAAATGATTTTGTCAAATGGAAACGATTCAATACTTATCATTAGATAAATCTTCTCAAGCAACTTCACAATATTCCGATTTAAAAACTACACGAAAAATTATTAAAATAAAAACAACCAATTTGCCCTAATTTAAGAATTACAACAGGAATGACGTTTGGCGCTTACTTTCAATCCCTTGAAATCATCGGGCTTGCTTGTCTCTATATAATCTGGCCCAAACTTGGTATTGTTCCTATTGGTTTACTATTCCGCTAATTGCATATACGCATCAAATGTTTTACAAATAACATTTCCTACATGTTTTTAGATGTAGATTGTCCAAATGAGTGCAGTCCAGAGGGGGACTGTTGTTCATGTTGCCTGACGTTTCGGCAAACTAGGCTGTAGAAATCAATATTGACGACGGATAAAATACACATCTGACAGTGTAATAGTTAGATTATACGAAATTATATTTTAAAGTCAATCTGTTTACAAATGTTATCTGATAACGCTTAGTACTAATTTTAGTATGGAGCTACTAGCAATAAAGTTCAAACAAATCCATAAAATATCACAAATAAGTTAAGTTATTCACATCGCTTCGACGCTACAGTAAAACTTTAAACCAAAATATAAATTGTGTGCTGAAGCAATGATAGGATGCTTGCGGCAAAGCCAGCATAATTTCTCACTCCCACTATCTAAAGAACTTGATAATTTTGCTGGAAAAGTCACTAAATAGCACGGGGGAAAATTTAAGGAAGCTTCACTACTGGTGAATGCCCCTTGATAACAATGAAATTTTCCATTGTAATACCTTATTGTGCAAAACCTATTTTAGATTGCTGAATCAAAACAGAGCACAACTCAGGACTGGCCTACTTGAAGACTTCAAGCTTGCAATGGATCCAATAGCATTAAGTTGGGAACTATTGTCGGGTTTTTCAGTAGGTGGGAAACCACTCCTGGAATTACTAGGTGTAATCGACAGCGAATTAACCATATTAAAAGCAATGTGTAGAAAAGATCTCCAAAGCAGCATCAGTCATTTCAGGAGAGGTGTAGAAAAACTAAATCTCCCAAAGTCAATTGAAAACAAAGAATATGAGTCGCTACCATCAAAGACACTACAGTCGGCTAAAGAGTCGTTTATCGAGGCGGACAGAGAAGCAAACAAGGCATTTCACAATAAATCATTAAAAATTGAAGAAAAAATAACTGCGTGCATGATTTGCATCGCAAGTTCTATTCTTCGACATTTTAATGATAGTGAGGCAGCAGAAAAGGATGCTATGGTATACTTGAAAAACTTGAATTCGTTGCACGAGGTAGGAAAGCTTTTTTCTTTTCCACAATTAACCTTTAACAAAAACCAGAGGGACAAAAACATTGAAAATGTACTGATGGTGAATTTATTACTAGCCAATTTCATTTCAAACAACACATTTATAAAACGAGCTGTTCTTGACTGGCCATTAATTGAATCAGGTGTGCACAAGTTTCATCCTTTGTATTTTAAAGATATTGAAGGAATCATGAGTTCTTCCACACCTTGGTACGAATCTCGTTTTTGTAAAGATGAAGCTCACCTATTTGTCGACAAAGAAATCACAATAACCAACGAAGGAGAAGTGCTGATTTTTTCTGGAAAAAGTCTCCAAAAAGTCGACAGCGAAACAGGAAAGCTTCAACCGTGGTGTAAAGAAAGTTGTGAGATTGATGATTGGCAAGTTAGATGTATGACAGCTGATAACAATGGCGTGGTATATGTTCTTTCTGGTTATGGAAATAAGAACACTTGGAACTATCAATTGACAGTTTTTTCAGAAGATGGCGCTATCCAACAATCTACTTTGAAGTTTCTTGACAATATAGAGGCACGAAACTTGTTTATGGCCGTCACAAATGATGAAGTAGTTGCTATTGCATTTGTTGAAGGTGACCAACCTAACATCAACCTATGTGTATGCTACAAAACTGGTTTTCTCTTTCTCGAACCTTGTAGGATTATAGGCATTAATAATCCACTTGTTGACGAGTTGAAATCTTTGTGTTTTTCTGCTGATAGGCAAATAGCCATGATAACCTATCGAAATCCCCGTGAATATTACAGAATGCTTTTCTACAACATGGAAGCAAATTTATCAGATTGCATGAAATTCAAACCGTCCCTTGATGAGATCAAAGAATATGATCAAGTTATTTACACACCACTCTCCAAGTGTATCACAGGTTATTTCTTTAATAAGGATGCTTCAAAGTTATTGATCGAGACTTTTTCAACTGAAACCAAAAAACTACAGTCGTCGCTCGTATTGATGAAAGCAGGATATGATTTGGGATTGTTTAATGGCTCATTTCGTATTGTTTATCATGATAACGGAGGAGTGGCTTTGGTTACAAAAGAGTGCATAGTTCATTTAACAAAAAATTTAGAAGAAAATCCCAGTCAAAACCGAGTGTTTATGGATAGGAATGAGCCTGGCCTTTCATCAGCAACAAAAAAGCCTGATACCAACCATAACGTTCGTGCCTACAGCGTTAAAGTAAGAAAAAGAAGTGAACGAAAAAACGAAGACAGCTCGGAACAAAAACTTGAAAAGAGTTTCAGTCAAGGAAGTTATTTTAAGACGCTTAAAGAGTTGGAAAAAAGTTGATAAGGCGGAGTTGTACTCCAGTATCTAATGCTATTACTCAATTCAAACAAACAAAAGGCAAAGTATTCATTGAGTCGCACGTAGAAATACGTTATTATCGCACATACTCTAATTTCATTGCTTCAAAGCAATATTGCATGGCAATTCGAGGTCGCAAAAATATCAAGATGACAAAATTTTTAGACAAAATTTTACCACTAGCACTGTCAACTTTCATACATATCACGATACTTCAACATATATATTTTGATCAATGTTTATTGTGGGCACTAGAACTCCTAATGTCTTATATGAAATTATAATAACAGCATGCACACATGTCAAATAGCAACAATGTCAATAAATTTATACGTTGCTTAATTGCTTCCAAGCTTTTAATGAGTATAGATACATTGGTAGTTACAGAATACAAAAAAACTGCAGAAACTACTGAAGTATATTTCCTAGTTCCTATGGAGACATTTAGTGTGAATGTTGTAATGGTTTCTACAAATACAACAGTGGCAGCCTATGTTATATAGTCCCAAGTCTATAAACACAATTCAGTCAACAATGTTTTGGATTCGTAATACCTTAACACTAAGAATAATATTCTCGACTTTCCTTTACACAATTTATCATTATATCCAGTGTGGGGTGTGTAGCCTATGTAGTGTATGTCTAGCAAGCTGAGTGTGTGTAGCCTGAATAATTGCATAGCCTAAATCAATACTAACTACATTGCTCAGAGATAATGGAAACGAGCAAATTTTGGCAGACATCGCGCGGCTGCTAAAGTGTTAATTGTCACGAAATGAAACTTAAATAGTATAATTATTTCAAATTTTTTTCGAAATTATTTTGGCTGATTTAACAATATGGTTATTAATGCAAAATATTGGATGACGAAATTGCTGGGTAAGAAACAGTGCTAAGTTTTTTTATGGCAAAAATGTATAAGACTATTGAACGAGATGCAACGAAATCAACGTTTTCAACCAAATGCTGACACATTAAAAGACACGCAGGTGAAATATTACGTAATTCTTTTATACCCATACTGATTTTGTGTCAAATGCAGTCAAAACGTATGCAATTCACCATTCCTGAAGTACTTTATCTTATTTTTAAATTGGTGGTAAATTTTCCATTGCATGTTCCATAGTGATGTACTTGACGATCGCAATGTATTTCATTAGTGACGCCAGAAATGATTTTAATTTTGGTCATCGATGCGAATCAAGATTTAATAATAAATCCCTGTGACGTCTTGATGATGGATTGCGTAAATTATTAGTTTTCTTTATTAAGGAGAGCAGCCATTAAAGAGAGAGAAAATTCTAGTCAAAATTTATTTATCATTATATTTTTTTCATCTGTGGACTAATTTCTGTTATAAGCTTACTTTACATTTATCAAAAGTAATGTACGACTACCTACTTTTCCCTTCTTTGATTTAACCTTATCAGCTTGTTGGATACGTGAATAAAAAATTAGTTAAGCATTTAAAATATTCCTCCAATCAATTCCTTCTCCCCGTTTGCTTTGAAGAGGACAAAAATCTCTTTATAAAACTCAACTCCCGCAAAGATATTTTGAAATAGTTAACATTTTTACATTTCATCAAAAGTTATATATCAATGTTGCAAAACATTGTTCGACTGATTTTGAAGGTTTTAATCGAACGGAAGCAAAACTGGTGACGAAGTCGTAGTTCGCACAAATTTACGGTAGGTCATACAAATTTAATTAAGTTGTAATGCATTAGTATACAATTCAGGGCACGTAATGATACTCCTAAGAAAGTTGCGTAGCGTACAAACGTATCTTTCATTCGCCAAGAGCCTGTCTTTAAACAGTATGGCTAATTAAGCAACCATGAAAAACGCGAAAGAATTAAATAAGGCGACAACCTAGAAACAACTCCATATCAGTTGAGGTTTTATTAACAACATCATTCCATCAACATAAGTAATGATACGATTTATAAAATTTCCGCCGGGAATCTTTTAACTTGACTGAAGTATTTTCAGTTATTACTTTCATTCATTTGGTCATGAATTCTTGAGTTGGTCATAGTTAGTTCGCAAGTCGACACACAGATGGTTGGTCCCAGATAATAGCCAACGGCCTACATGCGCACAATAGTTAGGAAATGAGAAAATTGAATAAATAAATGTAGGAACTGCAGAAAATTAGAAAACATAAATCAATGCAACCAGCACTCGATGACAACAGTCTACATGGACCATTGCAGAAAATGTGCCTTATATTTACGATTACGACATTGAATGAGCTCATCGTATAAGCAAATAGGTTTGTTTTTGAACATGTGATGAGTAATTGGCAACTTTTCTCATATTACACATATCTTCAGCTTTGGACAAGCGCTTCTTCTAGAATGACGAGTTAATGATTGTTGCATGCACAACATAGTTATGGGGGATTGGGTTTGAGAAAGAAACCTTATTTTGGTTAAAAAGTGTGCATTTACGATGACAACAGTCAATATGGACTATTGCACAGAATGTGCCTTATATTTCCGATTACGACATTGAATGAACTCATCGTATAAACAAATATGTTTGTTTTTTAACATGTGTGAAGTAATTGTAACTTTTCTTTTAATACACACATCTTCAACTTTGGACAAGCGATTCTTCTAGAATAATGAGCTAATCATTAATGCACAATATAGTTATGGAGGAGGGGATTGAGGAAAAAACCTTATTTTAGTTAAAGTGTGCATTTTCGGTGTTTGCAATAGCTTGAACTATGTAACGCATAAAGTTTACAAATAGTAGCCTATTCATTTCATGTACCGTACAAAGCAAACGCACAAAACAAATTTAAAAATTATAGAAGTTTTGCTATGGATTTATCATTATTATAGATAATGCTAGTATTTTCCCACAAACTCAAATCTACCTGCCTACAGGAGGTAAGCTTCGACGGAATTGCTCATTTTAACTACATCTCCATTTCTCTCGTGATCATTGCTTTTTAAGAAATCGTTAATTTCTGCAACTGCTGAAGCTTTATATCAGTGCTCAGTTTCTCTATTCTTTCCCAAATAAGTTCTAACTTCCTCCAAAATTAGAGGAACATTTTTAATTTCTTTTATTTACAGTTACTTTCGAATATCTCTTTTCAAACAGTCTCTGTTATCACCAAGATTCACAATATCTATAATTGTACATGTTGTTAATTACTCGTGTTTCCTTTCGGTTTACTCAAGTATCATTCTGTGAAAGAACGGTTTTCCATGGTTGACCCCATCTGGTTTACCTGTTTCCCACCCTCCAATCAAGTACAATGGTGGAAGATTTTCTTGATGTTGGCTCCCAATGGAACCACACATATGAGGAAGACTTAGAAAAAATGTACTTTTGGGTAGCCCATTAGAAACGCTTTTATGATATTCTTAACAAAGGAGTTTAATTCCTATTTGGGCTCATCCTAAGTGCTTCTGACCTTTTCCTCCAAGATTTCTGTAAATCACTTCCTCTTTATCAATGGCCTATTGTACTCTTTTTGTGCTAAGAAAGAGGATGCTGCAAACTTTCCTTATATTCTCCCCATACTCCGTACCTATTCTCATCCACCATTTTTCTGATTTTCTTTCATGCTCTCATTTCATCATCTGCTTTTGTAGTGCACAGACAGATGCTTGCTGAATTGTTGTTGTATTTGAATCATTATCTTCTTCAAAATCTGAAAGTACTTTTTCTAACTGCGTTTTTCTTCGTTAATTGTTTGTTGTTTCCAATCCAGATTTGTCTAAGGCATTGTACTTTTTGAAGAGATATTTCTTCACAGTTTCATTACTTTCGGATTCGTTAACGTTTTTACTATTTATTTTCACGTTGTTGCTTCTCTTTTAAAATCCCTCCTATAAGTTTCATTGAAGAACCACACTATAATTCGTCTCAGCATGACATGTTTTTCGCATCATTTTTCTCTCCTTTTGTTGTCGTCCTGTGTACACATAGTTTTTTTTTCATTATGTCGTACATCGTTCTGCCCATAGCATATACCCTTTTACTGTTTTATAAAGATTATTTGTGTTGCTGAAGTGACTTTCCAAGACCCAAGTCTGTCCTTATTTACAATGCTTTGAATTTCTCTAGGAAAACGTTTATCATTCTCATTTCTCTCGTATCCTTGTTATCCTTTTTATTGCCCATGAACTTTATTGCTATCATCTACTTGAACGTTTTCATCCCCTGGATGACCAACATTTTCTTTCCTCTAAATAATAATTTCTTTATCCTATTCACTTTCTACACCATGATCTTTACTTTAATTTTGACGATATCTTACACTTAAGGTACGTTTACACACAGCGCTTTGTCGGGCCGACAATGACGCCATATTACGTGTTCTTGCCATATTTGGAAAGTCGCCGACTAAAAAAATCGGATGAAAATCTATAACAAACTACAGATTCGTTCCCGATTTTTACTATGTTGCTATGGCTTCAGAAACAAGCAAATTATGATTATCGAAAAATCATCAAAATGTTTTCTTTCAACACGGAAAAAGAAAGTGCTGAAAGCGTCGTTGTTTTTATTCAAAAGCAAAAAGCTGCAGAGATTTAGAAAAAATAGTTAAGAATATGTTCTTAAAAAAAGAAACACGGCAAATTTACCTTGATTTGCACTTTTATACTCACACCGATCTTTATATTTGTTTTCTTCTTTTCTTTATTTTTTGAAGCAATAATAATAATATACATTACCTTCGTAGCTACAATGACAACTTTTAATTTCGCTTTGCTATTGTTCTTCGACATATTTGTTTTCTTTTTTGAAATCGCGTAAATACATCGGATGCATTATTTACACACAACGATTTGTCTTTCACGACAAATGTTCCATATATGGCAAGAATCACGTAATATGGCGTAAGTGTCGGCCCAACAAATTGTTTTGTGTAAACGTACCTTTAGTCTTAGTTCCTTTTTGTCCATCAAACTCATTGGCTTCCTTTCGAAATATCTTTATATAACGCTTTTGGCAATAAACGTCCATTATCTTACCAAGGAAGTTCCTTTTTAAATCTAACTATATCCATAATGGAGCAGTTAAAATTTATTTTGGCTAACGCAAGATCTACAACTCGGCTAAGAAAATGTCACGAACTGTGACGTAACCAGCACTCAAGTTTGTTCATGCTACGTAAATATTTTGAAGTTCACTCACTGTACGTACAACATAAATGAATGAACTTAATGATGAAACATTTACGTAGAATAAACAAATTTGTAAGCTGGTTACGTCTCTGGTGACAAAAAACGCCCAAAGACAGACTGTATATAACATTATAAAGATTGTATACACGTAGTGTATTTAAAGTGCATATAAACCTTATGGCGTTTTGGTCTTGTTTGAAAGACCATGTCTTAAAACACATATTCGTATTAATAAAAATAGAATGTAAAACTTTTCTTTTAATCCCCCTTCAAAGTCTGGATTTTGCACCCAATGTTTTCCCGTATGGGCTCTGGAAACGAGTTGTTGTTTCATACATCCGCCGACGTCATGCAAGTAACTAGTAGCGATTGTGGTCTAATCATTGAGGTCTTATAGAACTCAGCAATTTTAATATGACAATTTTTAGTTGACAATGTTAATTTGACCGTGTAAACGACAAAAAAGTTGTCAAATTTTATTTAATAATTGCCTGTTTTGAAAAGCTGGCGTGCTAGCTTTTATGTGACAAATAAAAATTATCACATACAAAAAATGGGTCGTGTAGATGGCTGTCAAATAAAAAGTCTCACATATCAAGGAGCGAAGTAGATCACAGGCTTCACATAAAACAAAACATGGCGGGTGATAAAAAAAACTGGCCCGATCAAGTGGGGAGTTGGTTTCTCGATACTGTCAGAGAAAGAGAGAGTATTTGGAATACCAAAAGTGAGCATTACAAAAACAGAAATATGAAGAATGCACACTACCGGGAAATACAGCAAGCAATCAAAGTTGAACTGCCAAACGTTGATTTGCCAAGCATCAAAGGTGAGTGATAAGATTCTAATGGAGTCGAAAGAATTGCATTTTAGCGATGTATAAACATTGTTTATATTCTTTGGTTTGCCTTAAATCGCAAAGAAAAAATATCTTGTCCTGCTTACATGGCAATGTGTTTAAACTTCTAACTCAGCTTGTTTGCAGGCCAAAATTGGTAAAGGAAAACATATCCATCTTTAGCTTTATATACTATTATTTGGATTCAAATAAGTCTATTCTAATAAAATGTCTGGCTTAACCTTTTAGCAGAGATACAGAGCTTAAGAACATTTTATAGAGAAGAAGTTTGAAAAATAAGAAAAAGCCGAGGTACAGGAGGTGGGGCTAGTGAAGTTTATGTATCAAAATGGACGTTTTTTGACCAGTGCAGTTTCCTGGATGAATTATATCACACAATCGTAAAGTATTTACAAATGCTATTGATGAAGGTTTTCCACCAGACAGAGAAAACCAATTGAATGATTTAATTATTGATAATGAAGATACAGGAAGTGAATGTAGTTTCATTTCAAGCTCAAAGAATAGAAAACAATCACACAGTCCATTTCTTGAGTCAGCAACATCTGCCTTGAACCAGTTGGCAAAATAAGCAACATCTGCTCCTAAAGACCAGTGGGATATTTTTGGTAAAGATGTAGCACATGCAATGCGTGGTCTGGCAGATAAAGATATACAAAGACGTGTTAAGTTTGCCATACAATCGACTATTTTTAAAGCCCCCACGGGCTCAATACCAACCATTTTATCAAGCAGAACAATCAATAAATAATCAGCTTCAACCACCATCTTATTAAACTAGGGTATTTTAAATGAACATGTTTCAATGATTAAACTTCTACATCAAAATAACTTATACATTTGTTTTTGAGTTTCCTTTACTGTATTTATGTGTATATAAAGGGCAACATCAACCAGCAAAACAAGTTTTCATATATTTTTTATATACAAACGAGGTAAATTTATGTCATTGTTATAATTCCTTAGTTTGTCATTGTCCATTTAAAATCAACTGCCCCTTCTTCAAAGAAATAGTCTTTAAGAGCATTTCTGATTTGTCTAGCATGAATTAATGATGGGTGGGCACTGGCATCTGGCTGGATGTCACATATTTTATTTTCATTGCCTAATTGTGTTCTTCAAGAACCATTCACAACATTTCCTACTATATCTTCAAAGTCCAGGATGGATGTGTGTAAAACTGGTCCTTCTGACTTATCAAAAGGTCATGCAGTGCCATGCAGGCCCTCACCACCTGCATTGCATGTGGAACATTCAACTCCAATGTTCTCAAAAGACATCTAAATCGACTACACATCAATCCTAATGCATTTTTGACAATTCTTTGTGCTCGTGAAAGTCTATAGTTAAAAACTTTCTCATCACCTATTGCAGTCTGGTGTGGATATGGCTTCATTAGATTTTCATTCAAAGCAAAGGCCTCATCTCCAAGCAGAAAGTAAGGTATAGGCAATAATGTATCTCTTAGTTCTTAGGCTTGTGGGAAATAGCATGTCTTGCGTATGTTTTTAAGTGACTGTCTTTAAAAATTCCTCCATCTGACTGGCTGCCAGGGGCTCCAAGATCAAATGAGATGAATTTAGCATCTGCATCTGCAATTGCCAAGAGGACTATGCTAAAATGTTTTTTATAGTTAAAAAAACTCAAAGGCTGAGTTTGGAGGTGCACGCAAATTGATATGTTTACCATCAATGGTGCCAACTGCAGTTGACAAAACCCATTCTGAAACAAAAAAAAATATTATCTTTAGATCTTACAATCTACTAGTGTAAATAAATTATTGGAATAAATTCAATACCTGTACTTCTGCTTGTGCTGCAATTGTTTTACTTACAAGACATCAAAAAATTCAACATCACTATCACTGTCTTCCAAAAAGGTAGCACTTTCAGCTTCAAAAGTCTTGATTAGACAAAATAACTCTAACAACCTACAACAACATGGTATCAACTGCAAAAATTAAATTTCAATTACAAAATCTTTGACGAATTTAAAACAAGCTTCCTTCATCGAAGAAATCAGTCTCACGCGGAAAATATACAGGATTTAAAACAAAAATCCTTACCTGTCTACAATTCATTTCAGAAGGCGCACTTTCTATCATCAATGCCTTTGCAAACTATTATACCGTCTGGTAAAATCTTCAGGTTTGAAGTGCAGCGAGCAAATGCTCCACATCTTTGCTATGGGGCATTTCGCTCGTTTTAAAGGGACGAAATGTAGCCACTTTCTCTTCTTTTTCTTTTTTAAAGGATCTTCTGATCCATAAAAAGAAATGCCGTGAAGTCCTATGCCCTTTCTCGGGCAAGGAACGCTAGAACAGCCAGCAACTATACTGCAATTAAGCATGTCAAAGCAGATATTTCACTATATCAAAGCAGATATTTCACTATATCACAATATCTATTCTGTGACTATATTTTTAATGCATGCTTGCTGAAATGTTACTTTCATGACGTCACGCTTTCCTCAAATGACCGCGCAGTTCCAGTATATAGCCGGGAAATCGAGCAACTCAAATAGCCAGTTTTTTGATAATTTTAATTGAGTGTAGCACGAGAACTATTGGTCCAACGAAGAAAAAAAATTTGGAATATAACGTTTTACACCACGATTCAGTATACAAAAAATCCCATAAGCTTTATATGCACTTTAAGTAACGACAGAACGCAATTATATTTGTGCTCAGTCGCTGAAAAAACAATGCATGAAATATCATTTTCTAAACAAATTTAGGGGCTTATTAAATGAGCCCGAATAGCCGGGATTCAGTCAAGCGTTAAATGATTTTGGCAAATGGAAACGATTCAATACTCATCATCAGATAAATGTTCTCTGGCAATTTCACAATATTCTGGTTTGACAACTACAAAAACATTTAAAATGAAAACCATTGATTTATCTTAATTTAAGAATTACAACAGGAATAACTTGGCGCTTAATAAACAGTTGTAATTTTTGCGCTTGAAGTTTTGACTCCTTTCAATACCTCGAAACCATTCACGCCTCACTGAAATTCCGTTAGCCGGGATCATGTAAGCAGCCCATAAATTATTATTTTGCTGAGAAGTCAGCATAGCACGAGCCAAATACAAACTTGCTTTGCTAATGTAATACCTGTATTATACAAAACCAATTTTAGATTGCTGAAACTTGCGATGGATCCAATAACAATAAGTTTGGGCGTGATAGGAGGTTTACAAAAAGGTGGGAAAACATTGCTGGAACTCCTAGGTGTTGTTGAAGGCGAATTAACAATATTAAAGGCAATATGCAGACAAGATCTCGACAGTAGTATTAGTCATTTCAGTAAGGGTATTGAAAGACTGAAACTTGCCGAGTCAACTAAAAACGAAGAATTCGAGTTGAAAGAAGAGCGAAAACAGTTGGCTGAAGAGTCTTTTACAGAGGCAGACAGAGAAGCTGGCTTAGCATTTCATAATGCATCATTAAAAATTGAAGACAGAATAACTGCATGCAAGATTTGCATCGCAAGTTGTATTCTTCGAAATTTTAATGATAGTGAAACAGCAGAAAAGGATTCGATGGTATACTTGAAAAACTTGAATTCGTTGCCCGAGGTCGAAAAGCTTTTTTCATTTTCACAATTCACACTTAATAAAAACAGGAGGGATAGAAACGTTGACAGCATAGTGATAACCAATTTATTACTAGCCGATTTCATTTCAAACAACACACTTCAAAAACGAGCTGTTCTTGACTGGCCATTGATTCAATCAGGTGTGCACAAGTTTCATCCTTTGTATTTTAAAGATGTTGAAGGAATCACGAGTTCTTTCACACCTTGGTACGAATCTCGTTTTTGTAAAGATGAAGCTCACCTATTTGTCGACAAAGAAATCACAATAACCAACGAAGGAGAAATGCTGATTTTTTCTGGAAAAAGTCTCCAAAAAGTCGACAGCAAAACAGGAAAGCTTCAACCGTGGTGTAAAGAAAGTTGTGAGATTGACGATTGGCAGGTTAGATGTATGACAGTTGATAACAATGGCGTGGTATATGTTCTTTCTGGTTACGGAAGTAGAAACACTTGGAAATATCTAATGACAGTTTTTTCAAAAGATGGTATTGTCCAACAGTCTACATTGAAGTTCCTGGACAACAAAGATGCACGAAATCTGTTCATGGCCGCAACACAAGATGAAAGAATTGTTGTTGCATTTGTGATAAGTGATCAAAGCAATATCACCGTGTGCGGATGTAACAAAGATGGTGAGCTTTTTCTGAAGGCGCTAAAGGCAAAAGGCAATCGTAATCCACTTGTTGGTGAATTAAAATCGTTATCCATTTCTTCTGATAACAAAATGGCAATCATAATTCATCGAGAGGAACGTTTTCGCAGATTTTATAAACTGTTTATCTACAACATGGAGGGAAATCTATTAAAAGTCATGAAATTTAATCCAAGCGTGAAAGAAATCAAGGCATATGATCAAGTTATTTACACGCCAGTCTCCAAGTGCATTACAGGTTACTACTTTGAAGATGTTTCTTCAAAGGTAGTGATTGACACTTTCTCATCTGTCACGGAAAAAACATCAGTCGTCGCTCATGTTAATGAACACAGAATATAACTCGGGTTTATTTAATGATTCTGTTCGTCTTGTTCACCATGTCAACGGAAAGGTGGCTTTGGTTACTGATGAACGTATAATTCACTTGAAAATGCACTGTGCTAAGAATGCCAAGCCTGCTACACATTTCGATCGTCAAGAATGTGCACAACGGAAAAGTTCTACTTACGGTTTATCCCAGAAAGGTACCTTCTCAGCGGAAAATTTTGCTAAAGTGATGCTTGAGATTATTGAATATGTTCGTAAAAAAAGGGGGAAAACTGACGAAGATGTGGAACCCGACTCTGAGAAAGACACCAACCAAAAATCGATTTCTCATCTTGATGCAAGGCCGCTAATAATGCAAATTTTATTCTCTCACGTCATGCATGATCTTCGTGGGCAGACCAAAGTTAAGTAAAAATTTCTGAAGATTGTTTTGGTGCGCTTATTTCATGTAGTTGAAAGTGAGCGAGTTTCAAAGATGTATGATATATATAAGCTTGTGTATATAGCTTGCTTTTCTATTAAAAACTGCACCTGCTTTTTATAAGTTACGTAATATTCATGATCTTAGACACGTAGCGGCGTGCGAGATATGAAATCACAATTGCAAACATTTGGGTAACCAGCAAAAAAGTGAAAAATTCAAACACAATATCTGATCGAAATTTTAATTAATCACGAAATGTTTTCCATTTTGAAATTTATTTATTATGGATTTTGTTACGTTATACTACATTTGACATAATGAATTATGGATTTTTCACATTATTTTTCTGTTCTTTAACTTGAACTACAAGTTAAAGTAAAGAATTCGTTCAGTTCACGTGGAAATATCAGAGCCCAGCTAAACTGTCACAATGTTTTGGCGTAACATCATGCAACCCTGTTGAAGAAGATTGCAAATAGTTGCCTGAACAATCGAAATCGTGAAAGCGATTGGCCAAAAAACATTTCTATAAAGGCTGATGGAGAAGATAGGAAAGTATTTACTGATTCATTAGCGTGCAGAATTTACATAGCAAAATCAGTTATTTAACATTTTCACAAAAGAGAGGAAGATGAACTTAAAGAGCTTAAATGCCAAAAGTTAGAGCAATATGCTGTTGAAATTTGAAATTGGACGATTTCTTTTCGAACAAAACATCCCAAAACAACAAAGTTCTAAATTTTCTATGATTAACTATACTCAAAAGGCTTTTATTATCCATATTAAAAGAGACTTAAAAAGCCAAGTGTTTCAACACCTTGGTAAGTGTCTCGATCACTTGGGGATGAAGATTAGCTGAAACATTGAAATGACTTCAAACAATGACAAAGAGCTGCTTGTTTTATGGGAAAGCAATCACCAAAAATTCGACAACAAAACAAAAAGCTTCGACGGTAGTGAAAGGATTGTCACTTCATTTAAAACAATGTACGTTGAGCAAGAATCTATACTCTGAAGTACTTCAATAACAAAGAAGTGAGATACTCCATGCACGTAAAACTTCAGTCTGAACACAGGAAATGATTAAAAGCGGAGCTTAGGGGTTTATTACGTCTTGTTAATAAAAGTATATCTTTTATTAACTGTGTTCGCGTCATCTACTTCCTCTCACCAAGATAAATCAAGCTTGTTCTTTTAGCCAATTTAGAGAAGCTAACAACTTATTTGAGATTTTTTTCCCCAGTAAGAGTTGTTTCTGAATATTTTTACTATGGCTACTTCATGTATAAACCACAGTTAATAGCACAGCACTTATGGAAAGCAGGCATTATCTTTTATTTAATGTAATGTAATTTTATTCTTACTCGATGCATGTTTTACTTATTTATATTTTTAGTTATTATATTTTGTATTTTTTTTGCCGCTGTAATCTCTGATTGAGTTTGTGGTAAATAAAGTTACAAATTACAGTTGTACGTTGATTTACGTAGTGCATATCAAAATACCTTAATCTTCCAACATGCAAAGAATATAGACTTCAATACATTTGAGCAATTTTACACTCCTTAAAAGAGGTTTTTAATGAGCACTGGTCGTTCAATATATTTGAACAAGAAAACCTCATACTCGAAAAAGATTTTTTTCATGTGCACTAGTCACTCAATACATTTGAACAGTAAAATTCTAAACTCCTAAGAGCTTTTTCATGTGCACTGGTTGTTCAATACATTGGAACAAGAAAACTTCAGACTTCTTGAAACAGTGTTTACATGTGCTAGGTTGCTCAATACATTAGAAAAATAAAATTTTACACTCACTTAAATCATTAACGCACAATAGTAAATTATTTACGTAAACTGTAAATAATTTTTACATACTTGTTCTCTGTCTCAGATGTTTTAACAAGATTTTAGAGCGCTAAACCAAGATGTACCAGTTCCAGGTGTACTTTCAATTGCTCTGCAAATAAAAGAATGTTCGAAAGTTAAGACTTTAAAAATCTACAAAAAATCATTGACAGCCAATTTGGTCTAAGTCATTACAAATTAGTTCATCTCGAAGGTATTCAGGGGATTTACAAATTACTTGACGCAAATTATGCTAATTTTAAAGTGTGGCCCACTCAGTTGGGAGGGTGCTAAACCTTTTAACATTATTCGGTGAAATTTTAAAGAATAATGGTTCTAAATAATATAAACCTTATCAACAATATAAGTTAAACTTAAAGGAGCGCGCACGTGCATGCTGCTTTTTTACGTTCATTCAAAGACAAACATTTTGTGTTAAATGCAATATGTGACGATGTATATCAACAACGCCGTCAAAGATATACAGGTCAGCGAGGAGAATCAAAAGTTATTTAATAAATTCCCAATGTCTTCACAATAGACTGCGTAAATTATTACTTATGCTCAATGCATGATCAAAAAAACTTAACTTTTTCAAAGCAAAAAAAACGTTGGTAGTTTGGAAATATCTTCCAAAGGAGTACAGTTGCTACTGCAGTCATTCTCTCGCACGCAAGGCTCTCGTGCAGGCTAGTTCTATTGCTGCATTAGAAGAGAGACAATTCAACTTTCGATGGATAGTTTGAAATTATTTGAATTGCTAAGTTTATATCCACGTTGCAAGATAGTATTTGACTTTTATTGCATCACAATTCTCATTTAATTGAGGCAAATGTAGTGAAGAAGTGATCGTTTGCAAAATAGAAAGTAAGTTTTACTAACAGGCTTACTTGTGTTGCATTGCCGTAGAGCGAACAAATTACATTGCGTTGAAATGTTTCTTTCAATACTCAATAGCCTTTTGAGCATTGCACATATCACCCTCCAATAACACTTCAAGACAGCAAAATTCACATCCGTTGGTCATTATTTTTTGGCTGTAGTATAATGATTACCAAGGTAACGTAACACCAAAATTAAACCTGCAGTGCAACAAATCTCTCGCACCACTGGATATACATTAAACTATCTTTCCAATTGCTATTTTGACTTTTGCCAATCATTGAAGTGGTTTTACGCTGTCACAATAACTGTTTTTTTCATCAAAATACTAACTCACATTGAATTAGTTTGATTTGTGCTGCCTTCCTGCCGGTTTTCAATCATCATTCTTTACATGAACAGTTTTGCATGGTTGAAAAGCATTATCTGCTCTACCTGTTTCCCAAAGGCAATGGGAGGCTTAAGCTACCATCACTTGCCCAAGGTGACCCCTCAGGCTAGTAGAGGGAAAAAGACGCCTTACTTTTCCATTCTAAGCTTGCTCCAAGCTAAGCCTAGCCACTGCCCTGATGCATGTAATGAATATTATCACGTATTGATTATAATCACCTATAATGGTTCGTGCAAAGCTAAAGAAATAAAGTTCAACTGAGAAAACATTAACGACACCAGAATTAAAACAAAAGAACGTTTTGTAATGAAACGAAAGCAAATGATGCGTTTTCATTGAAAGCTGACATGTTGTTAGTTAATACAAAAGGAATTCAACACATCTGGGAAATTTTTACAATCCTAAAGTGTTAACAAGCGTTCTGATTGTTCAATAAAAAAAAAAGTAAATGTTGAATAAATATGGAATAGAAAGAACGAGTAAATATAATAATGTACGTTTTGAATTCATTCAGCTTCCGTATATTGATCGTTACAAAGTAACAGACTTCTTGTGTGTTAAACCGTTGGAAAGAATATGAACTAAAATGGCAACAATTTACTGGATTTCAATAATTTATAATTACAATTTGCTCTTTAATTATTTCCACATCAATCCGTTCTATGACTTAAAAATCCCAGAACGTAATGTTCATGTAAAATTATATCTATTTTAATAAAGTAACATAGGAACAAGTTATTGCATTTTCATTAGGCATTTTCAAATGTTTCACTTTGTCTGATTTCAATTTCACTATTATCCCTCCCCCGGCTACGTATAAAAACGAGGCATTTCTTCGAAATTGTAACGTTTTGAAAAAATGATATAGGATATTACAGTAACACGAAGAAACCCAAGACATTATGCCAAAGTCAAGTCGACATCATCTAGTTGTAGCAATCTTTGTAATTTACCTTCTTATACAGCGTACCCACCAACACCGACCCAACCATGAACAGTGTAGACCTTTTAAATTAGGTAGGGCAGAGATATCATTCATGAGTTATGGTTTTTCACGAGATGATAAAAGATTTGCGCGATGATCAATCAATGTCAACATGTGATCCTGTAGTCTCTACAGAAAATAAACATCCGCCGAAGTATAACATCACCAGAAATTAGGGACATTTTGCGACTGCGCTCGCACTCAGCGGTTCCTCTTTTATACAACTAATATTCAATAAGCGTGGGAGTTTCACAGAGTTTTATAAGGCTCTTAAAACTATTTTTTCTTTTTAAATCAATCTTTGGAGGAACTTATAAAAATAAAAATAAATATAAAGAGCACGAACGTAGGTTTTGTCTTCGAAAATTAAGATGTTTGACATGTTCAAGAAAAAAAATATGCAAATGTTTGAGTCACATTCAAAAGCGACAACCTTATTCATTATTCTACAGAAGCAAATTTGTCAAAAGTTTAAGAGCTTTTGGAAGTATTCTATCGTGACTAAATCAACTATCAAACAAACAATTTCAGTAAAGGAAACATTGGACTTCAGTTTAAGAGTGTGGCAATTGGGATATGAGGACTAGGTGATGTATTATATGCTCGAGTCCGTCAATCATTTTCAGCATATTCATATAATTGCTATAGAAACATTAGCTGCAAACCAACATTCTTGTCACATATCAGGGAAAGTCTGTGCTCTTCGTAGTCGTTTTCATTTATCATTTACAGGTAATTTATAATGCTCGGCAGCTTTACCACAGTTATCGAGTGTGGCAGCTTTACCACATTTATCGAGTGTGGCAGAGGGGGAATATGCTATACTATCATGTGTAATTTTGAATTTAAAATTTCCACCACTCCTTTACTAATAAAAAACACGCCATTTTGAAAAATATAGCTTTCTTATCCGGCATTATGTACCACATTTCTGGTAATGAGCTTTTCTTTAAGCACTAATAATGACAGCCGAGTGTTTTGTATTCCCAGAGAAGAGCAAGTTTCTAACGCTAGTTTACTATGAGAATGAATTTGAATCAAAGTCACCCTGTTGATTCTAATCAACAACAAAGCAGTTATAATCACATACAAATTTACGTAGCTCAACACTGTAGATGCAATGTACATGCATGGTGTACAACAATCAAAATACAACCGGCCATTTCAAAATAAAACGATTTAAGAATTGCCGAAGTAAAATATACTGAAATGTTTTAATCTCTGTCTCCACAATATCGTTTGTAACGATGAAAACTGTCCTAACACCAAGTCCTACTTGAACTATTAATTTCAAATACGCAAGTATATAATCACACATATTCAACCATTGAATTAAAATACATGAAACGCTACATGAAGCAAATAATTGAAACCAAATCTTACACAAGACACGCGAGACTTTACCCCAGACACGCGTGTGTGAAAATTGACCACACACGCGTATCTGGTGTAAAACAACGGCTTCAAAAAATTACTAGGGTTTTGTATTACAGGTAGCGTTCCATGTATTTTAGTTCAATGTAATCAACACAACACACTATGAACAACCAGAAGACACTTTGATGATTGAAAATCCGATTGATAAAAGTACAAAATCAAATAGTGATGCAAAGAAGTCGCTTACCGCAAGAGCTCCATCAAGGTGAGATTCGACGGTTTTTGCATTTGATTTTTCTCTCAACGAGTGGGAAACCTTTACAAATTCAAGATCAAAATGTTAGCTATGTATTAAGTTCATTTTCTGGAAAAACGAGAATACACATCAGCGGTAATAAACTGCTAACGCAAAGTCTAAACTACACAGTTTTTTAACACTTCCTTAAAAAAAACACGTATATTGTACTGTGTTCAAAAAAATAAAACGCCTTGAAATACAAGAAATTATTTCGAGGTATATTCGACCGTATGAAAGCTACAACTTGCTAGTAATATAATTCATTAAAGAAAACAACAGACCGAACAATAGACCGTTCAAACACGTCCCGTGTCGTTTTTTATGAAAAAATGAGCAACATACCGTGTTTTCTAGGTTTTGTAGATCAGACCTCAATGTGTTCAACTTGTTCTATAGAAGAGATTTTTGAAATATTTCAGCGAAAGTAAAATTACAAGTACGTTATGGCGATTATTTCATGAATTTATATTGAAATTTAGCTATACTTCAAATATCCAACTAATTTTTTGACAGTTTTATCAAAAAATTATTCTGCATGTTTGTAGCTTGTGCGCTAAAGTTCAGCAATTGGAATTACTTTATACCTCAGTTATTTGAGAAGACAATTTACTTTGGGTTATAGCCAGTCTTTCTTCAAGGGATAGGACGTCTTCCTCCTATGAAAAGAAAGTCTTAGGGGCTGATTGCATGAGCCCGATAGCCAGGATTCAGCCAAGCGTTAAATGATTTTGGCAAATGGAAACTATTCAATACTTGTCATCAGATAAATCTTCCCGAGAAATTTCACAATATTCTGATTTAATAACGACGCAAAACATTTAAAAGTACAAGAACCAATTTTGCCTAATTTATGAACTTCAACAGGAATGACTTGTAGCCCTTAAAAAACAGTTGTAATTTTTACGCTTAAAGTTTGCCTCCTTTCAATGCCTTGAAATCATTTCACGCCTCATTGAATCCCGGTTAGCCGGGATCATGTAAACAGCCACTTAAATTGTAGGATAACTTCAAATGCGATTGGATGAAATTGTTTCAATTGGAAAACTCACCAATTCATCGTGTTCAGGAACATTGCAGTGCTCCCTTTTATGTGAGTTTTTCAATTTTTTAAACTGTATCGTATGATTGCCGCTTCCATAGTGATGATGTCTATGTATCTCGCTAACGTTTGTTTCAAATCTTCTGTTCGTTTCTGCCGGTAATGATACACCGTCGTCATAGTGATGATGACAAATAACTTCAGGAGGAGAAAAAGCTGATACATTGATTGGTTGATACTTCGACTCGCTAGCTATGTCACCATGATGATAATTGATCACTTCAGGAGATACTCTAATTGGTTGAGCCTTCGATTCTCGAAGTACGTTACCATAGTGATGATGAACTTCGCTCAAGTTACCGGCCAAGGGTTGATTAGCTATGTTCTTTGACTCTATAGAACGTGGTATTACTGGAGCGGCACTGCTATTGTCCTGGTAGCGCACATGATCACCATGACTACCTGGAGAATATATATGATGTGTTATTTGATGTACTGGCCGGACAGCGTCTGGAAAATATGTTTACAATTCTTTGAGAGCCGAATTCATCCATTTGAAATTTGCAAGATGATAAAGTAATTATTGCTAACATGCTATAATATAGAACTACACGGATACTGACCATTATTTTGTATTGTTTCATTCAATAAATTCTCCACAGATTGTATCTGATAATCAAAGAATTCATGTGGTCAGAAATTGTATAAAACATTCATCTTTTACAATGCTAGCATAAACTATGCAAAATATATCAGAAGGCTATTAAAAGAGGCAACAGAATTCATAGGTAAAGGTCTCAGCTTAGTCATTTGCTATGCAATGACGAGTGTGAGCTGATGACGAGTGTGGTAATGAATATCGATCTACAATAACCATCTCGTCATTTCTACTTTCAATTATATGATGCTTGCGTGCATACTTGATTTAAAATGTAAATTTCGTCGCTCAAAACTTTTGAAACACTGGCTTCGTATAAAACAACAGAGGGAAAATGATAATTTGAGGGAGGGGTGGGTATAATAATGTGTTATGTTATTTTAAAGGAAAGAGTAAAATACATATGAATATTCATTCATGCTACCTCCCCAATATCCATATATATAAAAAAATGTAAAACTTACTTTGTCTTCAGCATGTCTGATGTCTGCCTCGATTCTTTTTCGACTTTCTTCCATTAGTCTTCGAGATCTCTCAATGTCATGCTCATTCTTGGCAGCTTTCGCTTTCTGCAATATTGAACTTCAAATGAAATTTTTCATGCGTTTTTATTTAGTAGCAGCGTAATAAAAACACTCAAAAAGAGAAGATTACAATAAGTCGATGCGTTGTACATCACGAATCTATGTACAAAACAAAAACGGACATAAGGTTGAAAAAAGACTGTCTTTTCCAAGAACAAAGCTATACCTCTTCAGCTTCAAGTCTTTCTGAGAGTTTGCGTTTGATTTTTTCAAGATCTTGATGGACCTGATCTCTAAGGTCGCCAGCCTTATGAAAAGTAAAAGAAAATAAAGGCAACAGCTTTAACAACATGCAAGCACAGACAACACATGGTGGTGGACTTGTTAAAAGCGGTAAGCACCGTATATATAATTACGTTAGTATGTCTTTCATTGGTTACTCGTGTACATGCGCATGAGTAATTGTATGCATACATGCATTGGTTCAACCTTGAGCATTGCAATATACTTCTTCAAAGTGAAATCTTGTTTTTACCTTCATAGCTTCAGATAGCTGAGCTTCCAAGTCAACAATTTTTGCATCTTTCTTGTTGATCTTTACATGAAAAAAATGTAGGCAAGCGTGAATCAAGATGGCGCTTATGAATGTTGATCACAGGCTGGTGGTTAAATGAGAATGTTAACCCACTCAATCAGGAGTGATGTTAGAATGAAACTTTAATCATTATTTTTTTAGTGTGGTGCCTGAAATCGAGTTTACAAATTCTTTGGACTAATACCTTCGTTAAGACCGATACGATGAAGAAACTTTACCGTTGACGCGCTACACCGTCTAGTGTCTTCATCAGGAGTGATCTGATGTTGAAACTTGAGTTGTTATAAACTCCAGTCTACCGTCTTCATCAAGAGGGATCCAACATCAAAACTTTAATTCTAATATACCTCCGTCTAGTGTCTTAATCAGAAGTGATCTGTTCTGATGTCGAAACTTAAGTCCTTATGTACTCCAGTCTGGTATCTTCAACGGAATTGATCTCGGGTTAAAAGTTGAGTCTTTATTAAACCAGAGTAGTCATTTTATTATGACTAATCCGCATTGCATCTCAAATTGGCCACTGAAATAGAATACTTTTATTCGAGAAAAGAACAAAACAATTCCTTACTCCATCATCCCTGACGTGGAATGTATACGCAATATTCTATATTTATCTAAAACACAGTGACCATCACCTCTTTAAGATGTTGCTCTTGAAGTTCACTGATTTCATCTTGCAGTAAGTCCATTTCAGTTACAAAATTCTTGCGCTCAAATGCATCCAAACCTGCCAACTCATTCATCTACGAATGATCAGAAATGCATACATAATGTATCAATAAAACCAGAGCACCCTTATGTACCCAGAGCACCCTTATGTACCCAGAGCACCCTTATGTACCCAGAGCACCCCAGAGCACCCTTATGTTATAAAATTCAAGCAACTTCCTTGAAGGCCCAGTGTCTTACTTGAAATCGGAGATCTCGGTTTTTTTCTTTAGATCTATGTAATTGATGTCGTAAATTTTCATTTTCGTCTTTCAAAATTCGATCCCGTGATGTTGTCTTCTGTAACTAAGCAAAAACACATCCCACTGATTAGCATCCTCAGGAGAAAAGGAAAGGTTTTCACAGCTCTTTTAGAACTTCGGATGGCATTATGTAACAGCACAAACATTGTTATGAATTGAAATTCATTCAACTATTTCATTGGGTCATATCAGCTATCATTCCACCTGATGTTTTTAACGGAGTTCGTTTGAAAAGTCACGGCATTTTTTAAATTAGTCAATCAATTTCGAACAATTAAATCAAATACAAATATAAATGAAGGACCACGTACGTATAAGATATTGAGTATGGTATAAAAATCGATTCTAAATTCAACGTTTTCAAAAAACCGGAGCAAAGCAACCCTTGTTTAAATGCCCATAACAAATGTCAACATAACCACCCGTTCATGCACAAGTACTTTGCTGAAGCTGTTCAATAACGGGCAAATTTAATCACTTGCCTCTTCATAATCACGTTTTTAAGATATAGATACACACAAAAACGAAATACAAACTCCACTTACATCTCTCAGTTGACTTGACTTCGATTCTAACTCGTCATTAATTCGACGTAGATCAGACAGCAACTCTTCAATAACAGATTTTGCCTGCGGAAATATAAAAATCAACAGTACTCAATGTGATATGGGAAAATAACACACGTAAGTTAAAGTTATTTACAATTGTTCACACATGAACTTTTCCGCATAAAGAAAAAAGGATCGTTATATTCGCCAAGGACCTTTTAGTTTTATTAAAAGAAATCATCAAAGCCGATAATCTTATCTTCAATAGCTAATTATATCCAGTAAATAATCACAATCAATATCCAGTGATATTTCATCGAAATTTACAAAAAATTACCTCATGTCTAGCGTTTTTTCGTTTTCCCTTTTCTTGGTTTAAATCTTGCATTAAGTCTGCATATTTTTCACGCAAATTAACAAGACAAACGCCAACAGCGTCTTCTTCATCAACAGACTGTCTTTCAACGATCTTCCCACCTTCAATATCAGCAAGCAGTTGTTTCAACCTAAATACAACCTTATCCTTTAAACCATCCGATGGTTCTTGATCCAGTGTATGTTGCAACTCGTGAAGACGGTCCTTAAGTGATTCGTTAGTTGCCTACGCAAAAAAAAATACAGAATAATTCAAAGTTACAAATAAAACACAATCATTTGACTCATAATTCGAGCAAAAAACATACAGATTAATTCAAAGTTACAAATAAACACAATTATTTGACTCGTAATTCGAATAAGCTATAAAATGTTTTGTGTATTTATTTCATTTCTACGTTAAATCGTATTTGATTTTGATTGTTAATAAGCATCATTGACTTCATGGCAAAAAAAAGTAATAAAACCTACACAGTAAAAACTGATTGGTTAAAATAACCATAACAATTGGTTACCTCAGATGCATTTAACCACTTTCACCAACATTTTTATGGTTATACTTCAACCAATCATATGGTTATTTTAACCAATCAGTTTTTACCGTGTACAAGCCAAAGTCCGTTTCTCTCCGAAGAGGATAAATTTACGTTACGTATAATATCTCATCTAATATCCTATACTATACACCTTAAATTCTTGAACATTTATCTGTAAGTGAAAACGTAATGGAATAAAAATAAAGTGCGAGAGGCAATGTACTTTTCTACTCTTTAAGTTCGCTTTCAACATGAAAGAATATGCTAAATCTATCAACTACCAATGCGTGTATTTAAGATTAAGCAAAGTGAAATCAACATTTAATGCAATTAAATGGAACACGTGTCTTGAATTACGTGATTAAATGTAATGCGTTGGTTACCTGTAAAGCAGAAGTTTGTAAGTTAAGATGATTGATTTTTGTTTCTTGGTCCGCAAGTTTCTTCGCAATTTCTGCATCTTTTGCAGCAAATTTCTGATTATGTTCAATATGAGACTGCGATGCTGCACGTTCTTTCTAAGAAAAAAATGAAAATTCATGACAAAACAAGATGTTAGGTTGACTCATCCCTTAATATTTGTCTATCATACGTAGAACTCACAAATTTTACTTTGAGTTATTGTAAGAATAACAGCCGACCCATAAACTTGCAACAATTTGAGTAAATTTTCGGCCAAATTTTTACACAAACTCAGTGTATAAAGAGCGTGTAGAGAATAAACAGGAGGAATTTACCAACAATCTTGTTGATATCCCTACAAGCCTCGTTAAAATTTTATTAGCTAAATGGTGGCTAATTGATTCATTGGGAGCTCAGTCTTTCTAGTCGTCATAACACGTACTCGAGACACAACTAAATTCTCACCTCAAGTTTTGCATTCAATTTTTTTATATTTTCCTGAAGTTGGGCAATTTCTTTACTGGCGTGTTTTAGTTTTCCATCGGCCTCAATCATTCCTAGTTTGCTGTTTTTTTCCAAAGCCTTCAATTCATTCCGCAACGAGTTCTCCCTTTCTTCAGCTTCTTCCGCTTTCTGTTCCTCGTTTTTTAAAGCCACAAGCGCATCTGAAAAATTAAAGTACTTAAAGTCTAAGTTTTACCTTTAAAGTAATGGGATGAAATAGAAAACCATTCTCTATGAGTGGGTGGAGGGATGCTAACAGCAGTTAACATCAAAGCAAAGAAAGAAAAACTGCCCAGAGGGATGAAAAGAAAAAAATTAGCATTAAAAATATTTTAAATTACACCATAGGTAGAAGATAAACAAATGCTAGAAGATCCGAGAATATAACTTTAAAAAATGAAGAGAAAAATACAAAAGTTAAGATAACGTGATGGGCAAAAAGAAATACTGTATTTTTATATACGAAGACTGGTATGACGATTGACGACTAAAGACTGAGTTCTCACACTGTAATTCTTGCTCCAGGTTATCCTGTTTGTCCTTCTCTTGTGCAAGTTGACCAGTCAATTCATTGACATTATTCAGCAGTTCTTGTATTTTGTGTTCCTGCTTCGTTATACGCTTACTAATTTCTTCACCACTTTCTCTCAAAGTGCGAATCGTGTGCTCATCAGCCGCTTTTCGGGATGATTGAACTACACAAAAAGAAAGTATTATATTTCAGAGAGCATCAAGCAGTAGAGCATAGGAAGAAAAGTGATGAGTGCTAAAGTGAAATGCATTTACCTTCATTCCCAACTTCTTCAGCCAGTTCCTTCTTCATTTTTTCCACCATACCCTCTTCTTCTTTGATTTGTGCAGACGCATACATTAATTTCCATTTCAATCCATTGATTTCTTTCTCTTCTTGAGCCACTTCATCAGTTTTAGCAGCTATAATATCTTCCAATTGTTTTTTCTATAAGAGAAAATGTATATGAACGATAGTGAATGAAGATAACTTAATCAAGGTGTTTTTCATGTTATATATGATCTTAGACCCCGTTCACAAGATACCGGTAGAGTTTGAAAACGACGAAAAACTCTTATAGTTTGGTGTAAGGTTCACACGACACCGGTATAAAAAAGTAAGAGACCTTAACGCTAACAGTAACAGTTTGAAAACGGTATGGAAATCCGTAGCAGTTTGAAAACGTAACCGTAAGAGTTTCATTAAGGTAAGGGGAAACTTTTTTCTCTGCTAAAAAAGATGCGATAAAATATTCGAAAACAGTCGTTACGGCGATAAATATAGTCCGCGCAAAAAGGTAGACTTCAAATAAATGTAACTTAAATAAACTGAAAGCCGGCATAAATAATGGAGTAGCGGGAACACAACACCAAAATCGAAGCAAAATCTTTGACATTAACGTGTGAACAGTACGAAACGGTATGAAACTACGGGTAGAGTTTCGTAAAGGTATCTTGTGAACGTAGTCTCATACAATACGTAGTGCTTCTAAATATCCTCTTACACGACGCAGTGTTAGAAAGGTATGTCATTCGAATAGCTCAGGCTAAAAATGGACAAAATCTCAAAAGAAAAGAAAAAGTTGTTGTCAGTTGCACAAAGACTTAGGTTTTAATCAGTCGTTAACTTCTTTACTTTTTCAGCAATCAGCAAGCATGAATTGCATGTGCAATATTACAGTTGAATGGGGTGAGAGCGCATGAACTGCATGTGCAATATTACAGTGGAATGGGGTGAGAGCAATGAACTGCATGTGCAATATTACAATGGAATGGGGTGAGAGCGCATGAACTGCATGTGCAATATTATAGTAGAATGGGGTGAGAGCGCATGAACTGCATGTGCAATATTACAGTGGAATGGGGTGAGAGCGCATGAACTGCACGTGCAATATTACAGTGGAATGGGGTGATAGCGCATGAGCTGCATGTGCAATATTACAGTGGAATGGGGTGAGAGCGCATGAACTGCATGTGCAATATTACAGTGGAATGGGGTGAGAGCGCATGAACTGCATGTGCAATATTACAGTGGAATGGGTGAGAGCGCATGAAATGCATGTGCAATATTACAGTGGAATGGGGTGAGAGCACATGAACTGCATGTGCAATATTACAGTGGAATAAGGTGAGAGCGCATGAGCTGCATGTGCAATATTACAGTGGAATGGGGTGAGAGCGCATGAAATGCATGTGCAATATTACAGTTGAATGGGGTGAGAGCGCATGAACTGCATGTGCAATATTACAGTGGAATTGGGTGAGAGCGCATGAACTGCATGTGCAATATTACAGTTGAATGGGGTGAGAGCGCATGAACTGCATGTGCAATATTACAGTGGAATGGGGTGAGCGCATGAAATGCATGTGCAATATTACAGTGGAATGGGGTGAGAGCACATGAACTGCATGTGCAATATTACAGTGGAATGGGGTGAGAGCGCATGAGCTGCATGTCCAATATTACAGTAGAATGGGATGAGAGCGCATGAACAGCATGTGCAATATTACAGTGGAATGGGGTGAGAGCGCATGAACTGCATGTGCAATATTACAGTGAAATGGGGTGAGAGCACATGAACTGCATGTGCAATATTACAGTGGAATAGATTGAGCGCATGAACTGCAAGTGCAATATTACAGCAGAATGGGATGAGAGCGCATGAACTGCATGTGCAATATTACAGTAGAATGGGGTGAGAGCGCATGAACTGCATGTGCAATATTACAGTGGAATGGGATGAGAGCGCATGAACTGCATGTGCAATATTACAGTGGAATGGGGTGAGAGCACATGAACTGCATGTGCAATATTACAGTGGAATAGATTGAGCGCATGAACTGCAAGTGCAATATTACAGCAGAATGGGATGAGAGCGCATGAACTGCATGTGCAATATTACAGTAGAATGGGGTGAGAGCGCATGAACTGCATGTGCAATATTGCAGTGGAATAGATTGAGCGCAAATGAACTGCATGAGCGAGAACTGACTAATTTAATAGAAAATTTTAGCAATTAATTTATCAGCACGTTCACCATGTATGGGGCAAATTGAGAAATAAGTGATTTCCCCAGTAGTCCTAATTCACCCAATCGCAAGTTTTAAAAACAATAAACGATGACCTGTTCTCAAACAAAAAAGCTATGAAGTACATGAACAAAGTCTGTACTTTCAAGTAAACTATACTTTAAGATTGTAGTTTAGTAATTTTTTCCATGTTCAATTCATATGAAATAGATAAAGTTTGTCCCAAGAGAACTCGCCTCACGAGTTCTAACACGACGAGTTAGATACACGTGTAGTATTAGAAATCTTCTAAAAATGACACGTTTTCAATACTATACGACTGCAAAAATTTTCATCGTTCTAAGACTCGTGTTACCTGTAAATCATTGTCTATTTTATTACTCTCGCGCTCGAGTTGCATGAGTTCATCTTGTTTCTTGTGCATATTGTGTATCGCTTCGTTCATTTCCCGCTCGAGGTCTACACATTCGCCTTGGATAGTGTTAATCTAAGCAAAGAAAAGCAATGTGAAGAAAAATTAGGACAAACAAAAAGAATGTCTAAATGATTACACATTTCTTAAACACAAGCAAAGGTGAAAATTTCTCTATTCTACTGACGTCCTAGCATACAATACTAGATTTACAACTGATATTTGACCGCAATTGAAGCAAAACCACATAAAATTGACGTTATATAAAAGCACATTTATGAAGAAATTAAATACCACATAGCTACCACTTATGTCAACTTACAAAAACCAAACCAGGTATTTTATGCATGCAGCGGGTGAAGGGTTGGAAACTACACAAAGAGAAAGGTTCACAACTTGATGTTTTCACCATAGTTGAATAGCAAACTGCTTCTACTGTGAAAACTTAAAATAATAGTTGGTTTGTATCAAAAACAGTTCTATTACTGTGTCAAGTCTTTAAAAATCTTTTAGTGAAACGTCATAGTGCATATGAAACAGGAAATGTCTAAATATCAAAGCAAAACACAAAGAAAATACATACAAATTCGAGTTTATCAGCGAGTTGATTCTGAGCAAGACCATCAAAATCATCCAAAGCTTTCTTCTATAAATCAAACATAAATATGTAATTTTTAAGGCCGTCTAAAGAAGCGACGACTTAATAAGAATCGTTATATACCTTGTTCTCAAGGGATTGCTCTACTAAAGCAAGTTCATCACTGACATCACGCAACACGTCATTTTTCTTTTCTAGCTCCACATTCACTGAAATGTTAAAGATAATATTTACATAAAGTATGGAGAGATAGAAAGCCTTACAGATGAAATAAAGTGGACATAAAATGAAGAAAATAGCAGGGAAGCTTTAGTCACAATAACGTCACATTGTCAACTATCTCTTCATTTCCGAATGTCTAAGAGATTGCACGGTGAAAATGAGCCTACGGACGTATTCCCCATTAAAGTCGCAGAAAATTGCGAGGCAAAGTTTCGTGTCATGAACAATTTCATTCGTATATCGTCTCTAAATCTACTTACACAGTCTTAGCGCCTTATTCTTCTCATTCAATATCTTATCAAGCTCGGCCTTGTTTCTTTCCAATGCTTCGTAATTTCTTCTGAGCGAATCCACTTGTGCATTCTGTTCAACAGAGCCAGTAGTTTTCAAGAGCCGAGGGAATTGATGTCGTCTGTAGGTCGCCTTGCCAATGTACGCACTGTCATCTAGGCCTTCTATTTCACCAGACTGAACAGAAATAAGTAACAAATAGAGACGTGGGGGTTAGGATTTAAGAATAACCGTGAAAGATCAACAAAATAAACAAGCAACAGCTATCTCGAGATAACCTTGAGACAGGATAACCAACATTTAGAGATCATGGTTCAAAAACTGGCGAAAGATACATTCCATGCAAACCGAAATTTTATTCTTGTAGCGTTAAAACAGCAAATAAAAACTTATCCTCTTAATGACAACTAGTCCTCTTGCTCTTTTTCTAATCATCATGCAGAATGTTGTTTTGCCAGCCTTTACAACAATTTGACTTTAAAACGAATCTAAAATTACTCATTCCTAACGCTTTTTTAATCAAATATGAATAAACATTGCCAATAAAATGTACGTTTCTGAAAACCATCATTCTCGTACCTCGTCATCGACTAAAGGCATTTGTCCAAGCAGTTCAAATTTTTCATCCAACTTGTAAAAGGCTAGTTCTTGCTCCAACCTGTATTGGTTTTCCGACGCTTTCACCAAATCAGCATTCTTTGCTTTCACCTGGTTGATATATTTAGAAACGCGTTACAACAGAACAGTTGTACAATGAGACTATGCAAATACTGCACAGCAAAGAAATGTGAACAAAAGAAGGAACTTTTGCCTTGTATTTAAAGCAAATAGATAGTTTCCATGATGTAAACTTGATCAGAAATTGCTCATTTCTACAAAAAGGTTCACTTTATAGCAAAAATAGGTACTTAGCAGTTCCAATAACAATTTACGAGTTGTAGTGAGCTGTTTCTGACTACGAGTAGATTCATCAAAAATGCTTGACACAAACGAAACTTACAATTTCTACTTACTTCCTTAAAATAAAGAATTTATGTTATCAGATTTTAAACCACATGAATTTTGGTTCAAAAAATGTCCGAATGATAAATTTCAGGATTCAAAAAGCTCGTATCTTCCATAGGCTCCAAGTAATTTGCTATACAAAATACTCCATACGCATGCACATTGTCGTCCATTCAAGTACATTCAAATCCATAGGCATGCACATTGTCGTCCATTCAAGTACATAGAAATCACTCTTACCAACGCATTCTTCGCTTCTATTTCTCGCTCTAATTCGTTAATTTTTTCAGCTTGTGATTTCTCTCTTTCTTTTGCATCACACTGCGCTTTCAATAGATCGTCGATGGTGGCATTTGCTTTGCTTTTCTCTTCTTCTATATTAAGTTTCTGTTTTTCGAGCTTAGCAAGCTCGACTTCCAATCTCTGGGTCTCCTCTGAAATGCAATACATTGCATATGGTTAAATGTAACGAGGGTCACAGTTTTGTTAATAAAAATAAATAAGACGAGAACTTTTCTTTTACATGAGCAACATTTCAATTGAAGTGTACATCTCCACAACTTTACGGTACAACGTGTTATTCAAAATACCCCATGTCAACATTTCTATTGAAGTGTACATCTCCACAACTTTACGGTACAACGTGTTATTCAAAATACCCCATGTCAACATTTCTATTGAAGTGTACATCTCCACAACTTTACGGTACAACGTGTTATTCAAAATACCCCATGTCAACATTTCTATTGAAGTGTACATCTCCACAACTTTACGGTAGAACGTGTCATTCAAAATACCCCATGTCAACATTTCTATTGAAGTGTACATCTCCACAACTTTACGGTACAACGTGTCATTCAAAATACCCCATGTCAACGTTTCAAGTTGAAGCAGACCTGAGCACCCAGAGAGAGAAAAAAGACCCTTTTAGAGCGTTGACAAACAACCTTTTAGATGATGATCGACAAAAGCATTAAAATTACCTATTACATAAATTAAGCAAATCAGGAAGGAAGCAACAACTTAAAACTTTCTAAGAAAAAAGAACGTTTTAACTGAAAAGAAGACTAAAACCTTAATTGAAAGGGATTTACCTTGAGAAAATCTCAAGTCTGCCTGTCGACGTTCTTCTTTCTTAATAACTTCACCATCTAGCATGTTCAGACTACGTAAATGATACACGATAAACTCGCGATAGTGCGGAAGATTGGTGACTGGATTTCTTTGCAGGTCCAAGGTCGTCAAATCTTGAAGACATCGCAATTTAGTAACCTCGAACAACTATATGTATCAATTAACAATGAGTAGAGTAAAGGTATTGTGATGTATAGGAGTCTTAGGAGAGGCTGCCTTCAGTACGAGTTACAGTTAAATATTAAAACTTGAGTAGTTACGTACTCAAGTCTAGTGTCCTTCTCTGGAGAGATCTGATACTGAAACTTTAGTTCTTACATACTCCAGTCTAGTTTCTTCAATCAGGAGTGATCTTATGTAGAAACTTAAGTTCTTATATACTTTAGTTTAGTGTCTTCAATCAGGAGGGATCTCATGTTGATAATTTAGTCCTAATACAGTCTAGTCTAGAGTTTTTGTTTCTATATAGTTCTTGGAAATACTGGATCATGCAAAAACTGAAGATCTTCCTACATTCTCTTGCTCATAATTGCTCAAAGAAATGAAGAAATGATAAAGGTATCATGGAAAGATTTAATGAAGCAAAGCTTACTGATGTAACTTGATTGTCGGACAACTTAAGTTCTTTAAGACTTCGCAGTTTCTTCATCACAGCACGAGGAATACACGTGATTCCATTACAACTCAAATCAAGAACCTCTAACACGACCAAACTGTCCAAACCCTCGATGTTTTTAATTAAATTATTAGACAAGTTAAGTTCACGAAGTTCAACAAGACTTTCAAGTTTCTGTATTTTTTCAATCATGTTGTGACTCAAGTTGAGTATTTTAAGTCGTTTCAGCTTCTCCAAATTTTCAATGAACTAAAAAATGGATGGACAGAGATTTTCAATGAAGAAACAGCTAACAAAAAGCTCGTTTTTCTTCATCGATGGAAATGTATACAATGCTAAAACACATTAAAGAACAGTGCTATAAATATTAGTCTAAATACGTATGAAGGGCCTTTCAATGAATTATATATAAATCACATTTTTTCATCGTCAACAATAACAATGTAAACCTACGCATCAAAAAACATAATGAACTGATGTCCTCAGCCTTATCATGTAGTCATGAAAAGTTGCACTGTCTGTTTCATTATTTTACCATAATGATAAGCAAAATCCCTGAATGTAAAGTTTTATTGCCTAGGTAAGTGTTGGCTAGGATGAGCAAATTGAAACATTGGCAAAACTGATCTATTCAATGTCTTTGGAAAGAAATGAGAAAGATGTTGGAAACCTGCATGTGACTGTGAAATACTACACAAAACTGCACTTGAATTCATTGATATAATATATGGTTTTACATGTGATTGGCAGAATCATGCAGGTACTAGTCAAATATACCAGCATACCAGTAATTGCAAAATCATGAGTTTTGAATGAGCATATTTAGGAATGTATAGTAAACAACATACCACATTAAGCATTTTTATTAAAGATAAAGGAACAGAGCTTTTGTTAACAATGAAGCAAATATGTTATAGTACCTTGATTTTTTTGTTCAATTTGTCTTTTGGCAAATTGATCGTTAAAGAATTTATCAAGTCAAGCCTCTCCTCCTTTGTAATTTTTTTTATCAAGGTTTCAGTAAGGTAAGCAACTGAAGTTGCAATACCAATCTTTTTACCTATATACCGAAGAAAATTCTTTATAACAAATGAACTTCGTGTCTAACGAGACTAGTGATGAATATATAGTGTCTAATAAGGCTAGCAATGAATATATATAGTGTCTGATAAGGCTAGCGATGAATATATAGTGTCTCGTCAGGCTAGTGATGAATTAGCCTCTCATAAGGCTAGTGATGAATATATGTAGTGCCTGAAAAATATGTTGCAATTCAACTGTTAGTATCTTACTGGGCAAATATCTCCATAACATAAAATCGTATCAACAAAATTGCAATAAGGTATTTTTAAATATAAGTATGTAAGCATATGCAAGTATTTGCTGTTTTTCATTTGTGATTTATTTTGATAAACACTGTGGACCTTCAAATGACAACATTAAAATGCAAATGCTGCCACAAAGTTAAAACTAGATATCATAGCTAGTCATAGAAATGTGGATATCTATGTTTCTTCTTACCTTCCGGATTGGCAGCTGGCTTCAAGTGCCTATTGATATCTTCATCAGACATATCTTTTATTCTTAAAGATGTACAAATGCAATGTAAATAATATCTGTAGGTCTAGTTGGTTACACCACAAAATACTCAAGGACAATGGAACACTTTTTTTGGGGTAAGGAAGGGGTGAAATATCCCATAAATTCACTAAGTGGCATGTTAGGAACATTTTTGGGCAGAGCCATTCATCAAATCTGTATTTGAAAGGGGGTGGGGTTCAGTGTTTATTCACATATTCAGATGTGTCCTGTTGATTTTATTTGATTGCATGATGGTTTGACACCTCCAATGAATTGCTTTCAAAATAATCAGACAGGCACAACTGAATTTATGAAGGGACCAGAGGCTTTTCTTTCAGAAGCTCTAAAATGTCATTTTTTGGTCATAAAGGAAATAATACTAGCTGTATCATTTCAAATGGATTTTTCTAATCCAAATTAAAAAATTGACACCACTTAATAATTTCTACACTTTCCCTCCCCCCCAACAATCAAAAGTTGACGAGCCATTGTCTCCTGACAGCATGCCACTAATTTACTTAAATATTATTTCCCCTAGCAACACAAATATTTTTCATTTGTGTAGTTTTAGCTTTAAAGTATTTGTGACCAAAAACTCTTATAACACGACAAAACATCCCACAATTGCACTGCACTCCACACGACCATAAGAGGTTGTGAAGGGTTCGCAATTATATAATTCAAGACAAGAAATACAATACGCGTTTAAACTAGCTTGTACAAAATTACATAAAATAAACTTACAAGACACTTTTCTTCTTAATTTTCCCTTACAAAATTACAGGATATTTTAACTTTTCCCTCAAAATAAGTAAAACAATGACACCACTTGAGCATGGAAAGTATTTCCAAAATCTGACTTTGAACTTTGTAAAACTTTCCCGCCCTTCGCTAAATAAAGTGCATGCTAGCGCAATACTTCATGTCATAAGGTTGACACGGAACCTATAAAAACAGGTACGTAGGGTTTACTCAGTAAAATAAGGCAAAACCAGTGCTATGAATAGTTTTGATGATTTGAATAGCTGTTTCATCTTTCATTGTGCGTATGTCACGGTGTAACAACACAATTTAATGGCATTAACACCAATTCTATTCACAACACACCCAAAACCTATAACAACGCAATCCACATAATCCAATCAGCTTAATCCACCCATTTATCCAATTGGACGCTCTAAACGTCTACAAATTAAAAACAATTGTGTATAACTTCTTATATTCTGAAGAAGGCTCGAAGCATCTAGTCGAAAGCTGAATAAGTTATTTAAAAAAATCCATTTTTTGACAACGTAATAATTACATAATAGTAATAATTAAGCATTTAAAATAAGCGACAAAAATTTTTACGAAACGTTAGAGCATCTTCATCTGAGATCATAATAATATTGATGCCTATTTCACACTGGTTCACACCGTGACATAAGCATAACGAAAGAAAGCTTTTTTCTTATTTTTATATGTTTATCGTATTTTAAAGAGGTTCAAAGCAGCAATTATGTTGGCGTTTAAATAAAGAATGAAGATCATGCAATGCAAATATCCGAATGACTAATGGGAAAGATAGACTAAGAAGTGAACATAAAAACCACTCGTTTTTAACAACACAAGTAAATGTAGAACTTTTAAAACTGAATGATTCTTCAATTTTAAATAATTTAAAAACAAAACAATATTTCTCGATTTTCTTTTATATTTTATACTTCTAAAGAATTAATCACATAAGTCATATTATACAATAATCTGTAAGAAAATAATTTTTGTAAATTAATGGATACATTAAAGAAAGTATGAGATAGATAATTATTTATGTAAATAGCGTTATTTATTCTTAATTTCGTTAACTCAATTGTAAATACTGCAAGAGTTTTCAATAAACATTACTTTATAAAACTACATTATGAAGAAGTTTTTATTTTTATTTTCAATTACGCTTCGAGCAGTACGACTTTTCGTTTTCATTATTCGGCAAAATTTAATTACATATATACTTATTTCTTGGATAGTATCAGATAGCGAAAGGTTCATGAAAAAGTAACATCTTTGCAAACAAAGGTTTGAGTGAGTAGGTGGAATTATTGTAAAGTTGATATCAAGCCTATTTAAACTATCAGTGGCGTAGCCAGCCTCTCAGTTTTAGATCAGTAAAGTCAATTTCAGAACATCACCTTTTTTTCTTTATAAATCAACTGTTTTTACCAATAGTAGGTAAACTAAAATCATTCCATAGCATGAGTACATGAATAAACTGGCAACGCCACCTCTCTGATTTTACAGGAGATAGGACCAATTTGTAGACGCCTCCAGATTCCTGCCTATTTAGAGGTGAAGACAGACGAATCTGGAACCGTTTTCGAATCAGTTATCTCCGATTGTTGAGTAACGTTCCCTTGAAACTCAAGGACTTGGAAGCGCTACGAATAAAGCAAAGTTTAAGACGCCTTTGTTCATATTAAGAAAGTTTAGAAAAGTTAGAGAACGAAGGGCAGGTCCACATAAAGCCATCAACATTTACATATTTACAGTTAATCATGTAAAGAAAAACAGTCTTCAACCATCGTGTCATGTTGCGTACAAATTACAGATGTATGCTATGCCTCAATGGCAATCGACAACAGTTTGCATCACAGTTTCGAGGCAAGCTCACCTTTCAGCAATGGTCGTAAATACTTTTCGTAAGCTGGCAACACCTGCAGAGACAAAAAATACGGATGAAAGATTGCTTTCTTTTTCTGTAGTAGTCCTAAATTGACGAACATGTTTCCGCATAAGTAGAAAATCATACACCAATTTTATCTTCATTGGTTAAACTCACAGGTCTTTCATTAAGTGGAAAACTTTCGGCCCATTTCATCATGTTCTCGTAAACATTGCCGTCATACCGACCAATCACAGAGTTTAGAGCGTGATCAGAATGAATAAAGGCATCCACCAAACAAATTGCATTCGGTCTAAGTAATGAGGATTAATTTAAACATGAATTAGGAATGTTCACAACAATTGTCTAATTTCAAATAATCTCGAAGTTGAGTGGTTCTTTAGAATGCACACATTTTGTTGTTAAATCCGGGGTAGCCAGCCTATTGATTAAGTCTAACTATACAGATATTTCGGTTAATCTATACGCAATCAATTTATATATCAGGTCAAATAGTGTTCTAAAATTTAAACAACACAAGCTTGCTACATCTGAAATAGTCAACCTGATTTCATCCAAAATTTCCATGAGAACGTCACTGGCCATTTCCAACTGATCATCACTCAGAAAACCATCCTTTAGAAACGCATTGGCAGATTATGTGTTAAAGAAATGCTGATTTCAAAATTTGACTTAAAGTAGCAACACAACGTACACTGCAAAATTAAGTTGAATACAAGCGTACCATTATATAAAAGTAAATATCACCTTTAAAAAGTCTTTTGCTTCTTCAACTATACCATGAAGACTATAGAGAAAGAAGAGTGCATCCATTACTGGACGAAGTTCGTCGCTAAAATTCCCGTTTTCGATCGTACTTGCAAACTGCTCCACGACGAACTGATGGCAGTGAGCCTAAATACGATACGTATAAATTTGACGATCTGATATCTAGATATCACGCCCTTTATTGTATAATGGAGACACTGGTATTTATCATTTCATGTGTCATACGAAGCTATATAGAACATTTTCATGGACTGACCTTGGCAGCACGTACTAAGTCAACAGAACATCGATTCCATGCCTCTCCCGGGCTCACACCGCTGGACAAAATCCTTTGATGTTTCTTCGATACCGCCAAAACAAGCCTGAGATATTGTGAAGATTAGTTATACTACTTAGAATATTTGAATAATTACTGATTAAAACAAATGGGATATTTTGCCAATTCCAGTACTTCCCCATCTCCACAAACACACATAACATGAAAGTGCATATAACAGGGTCAGGGAAATGACCTCTTTAGACTGTTCAATCGATTCTAAGAAATCAATTTTAAGAACATTTGTAATATATTTTAAAGTTTAAACAATTTTATTTTCATGGGCTTTTTTCGCCTGGAAGTATCTGACTCCATGCCGGCGGAAGTGACGCAAAGAAAAGAAAAAGCAATTGTACTTTTAAACATTTTCTTTTATCATTCGTTCAAACGATAATGTTAAACTATACAAATAGGAGGTATCTTAAAGTTAAAGTGTGGCTTTTTCAAAAGATTTGTAATAATAGCTTTATTTAGTATAATAAAAGGTATATCTTCAATGCACGCATACTCCTTATTATGTCAAGTCTGGTGAGGAGACAGGAACTTCTAGACCCCAAAAACCCATGAAGATGAAATTTTCGTATCAAATATTGCAAATGTTCTTCATTCGACAGAACTGTCCAAAGAAGTCATTTCCCTGACCCTGAAATAGTCACTTTATGGATAGTAATGAAAACGAGAAAAATGAAGAAGTTAACCATGGGCGAGGAAAGATAGATATTTAGGGGGCTATATTCATATATACATAATATGCAGTATTAGGTTCCTATGAAATTCATCAAATCTCGAGTTCAAATCACGTCCAAGTTAAACGTTTTTCATGTGCAAATAAAAACCGTGTTAAGATTAATATTTTGAAATCTATCGTTTAGAACACGCATATATGAGCCCATCCCTCCCCCCCCTCCAAACCCAATTATTGATTTTACAATACCCATGAAGTGAATTACGTATTCGTGCAACAAAGATGGAAACAGTGCACCTTGCAGCTCGATGTTTAAAAATTCTCATCAACATCTTTGGATTCCTAAATTCATCGGGAGACGTGACTGTACATCTCGTGGCTCCGGTAAAAGAGGTGAGGTACTCTGCTGCTGGAGTTGAGATTTTCTCACCGGACATCAATTTTGAAGAACATTTTGTTAAATACCTAAGGATGTTAATACCAATTCTATAATACCACTAGAAATACCACTTCATACATTAACACATGCAATCTCCGGTTTTCATTCGTTGATGACATAGTGTGACTCTCACAACTTCTTTACATAGAGTTGTAAATTTCAAAACAGGGAAGTGTATAAGCTCATCCGACGAGATCGGGTAAAAAATTTGCATGTATGATCACACTGAGATGACTTAATGTTGAAACATAATGAAAAGGCATAAATAGTCAAGTTTAGTGTTTTCATAACGCTCAGAAATCGCGTGATAACAAAACCTGAGTTGACAGTGCTTTCAGGTCTTTCTCGAATTTAAGCATCGAGCAAACCTTGCTTTCTGAAGAAAAACGCATACCTTGCTGTTTGAAGCATCATGACAATGTTATCACCTTCATATGTACACATGGGCGCTAATACATTAGCATATATCGACGGAAGACCGCTGGACATAGAGAAACCGTGACCGCCGCACCGAAATCGACATATCTGAAAAATGCAAAAGTCAGTTATACTTTAATAAATCTAAAACTGTATGGAATTTAGACTATATGCTGGCTAACAAACCTCCGACCCATTAGCGGCGACTTGTGAAGAGAAAGCCTTCATACCAGCACAAGTTGCATGTAACTGAAGTGTAGAAAATTACAAATGCCAAAGTTGTCTACATCATTCACAAATACATCGGATAACTAGAACGTTACTAGGGGGGTGGGGGGTGGGGGGGTGGGTTATATTCGTATAATCAGTTGTGCCCGACTGATTTCTTTTGAATGTGAATTGGCTTTCTAGACAAATCAGTCGGGCGCAACTGAATATATGAATATACACCCCTCCCCCAATTAACGTTCTAGTTACGCCTCTCTGGGTGATTCAAAGTCTACTGTACGTCTTCTCGAAGCTCACACACACTCTGTAAGACTTCAAAATCAGCTGATAATTGCCTAAAGACGGTATTTTCAATCCACTGATTTCTTGATTTGAAATATTTCAAAGATAATCCAGCCATCGATAGTTTAGTAGGAATGCAATTTTCATGTCGCACTCCATAAATGTGAGGGTCAGTAAGTGCCAAAATCATGTTTTTGCACAAATAAATCAGGCATTTTGTAATATATTTTTGGCACTCAAAGTTGAAAAAGTTTCCATTTTCATTGTTTGACCTCAAGTATAAAAAAGCTGGTAGCTAATGTTATTTTTGACGTCACAACGGGTTTCGTCCGTTGTATTTTGTTAGAACTGTAATATTTTTGAACAACCATGACACAAGATGCCACAAACGTGTGTGCCGCGAGTGTTGCATGTATGCTTTTGAGAACATTATGTGAAAAAATACAGTGTTTTCTTAAAGCGTTTTCTCGATATGACGTTAGATCTTGGCTTTTGCTCTAGTTCTTTTAATGCCGTGGTAAAGAAAATAATCACTGACTCTGAGCCACAGAAAATGCACGAAGATTAAAGAATGAGCAGGTAATGCTTTGCGTGCTTAGCTATACAAAGGCAGCCATTTTTGTGGTGCCCTTTATTGGCGCCACATTAGGTTGGTTTGTAGCAGTTTGTACTACAGCCTGTTCTTCATGATCAGGTTGTTGAACTGGTCCATCCGTTATAGTTTAAAATCGTCTTCATCTTCCATACACGACAACGTCAAGTCTTAATCCTATTTAAATTCCAACATTTTTTTGCAATATTGTAGTTAATCAATTATGCAACTCTGTATTATATAGCGGAATCGCATTAACAGAAGTAAACAAATGTGCGCAAAGCATTACCGTGAGACTCATTCTTTAAATTTTCGAAAAATAAAGTATACTACCAATATGTTCAAAATCATCCAAACTATTTGTACAGTCCAATTGCAAGAACATGATATAAGCTTTTTAAATTAATACACTCGTCAAGATGAACATATAAAATAGGAACTCCGGAGAAATAAAACCGAAATGCAAACGTTTGCTGAACTAAGATGGAGCGATTGTATGAAGAAAAAACTTTAGAAGACAAAAAAAAAACATTGAAATTCCTCACAAAAATACGTATTTTCAAACCAATTTACAAAAAAATTGATATTATTCGGATCTTACCTCTTGAGCATTATCAAAACATTGCTGGGTAATTTCCATTTGCACTTTAAGATATAGCTGGAAAACTTTAAGGCCTGTAAGCCAAAAGGCGTACGAAGTTGCAAGCACAGGCAAGAGAGCGTACTGCTGAGTTTTGTAGTCAAGAATTTTAGATTCGGGTCCTCTAAAGAGATAATTGCGCGAACTGATGTGATGTCGCGTAAGAGCGGGTAAAATTATGATAGTACTTTTCAATTGTCGGCGATGTTTTAGGCCTGCTTCAAACGTCGAATTTTGCACGTATGGAATACAATTAGCAATTTAATTCGACTGAAATGCAAAATTTGACTGTGCATTTTTAACGTCGAATCTCACATGCGTCGAATGCAATTATTATTGACGTCTTTGCTTTATCTCGTCCCAAACTTTGTTGTGAGTAAAACGCGAGAGCCAAATTGTATTCGTCACATGCAGAATTCAGCGTTTGAAACAACGTCGCACTTTCGTCGCATAATGCGACCAAACCGGTCGAATTTAAAGGAAGTTAAGGTCGACCTCAACAAAAGCAGTCGAATTTGATTGTTTCATAAGTCGAATTTCACATGCACTTAATTTCAAAGTATTTTATTCGACACGCAAAATACAACGTTTGAAACAGGCCTTAAATTCAATTGTTGACACTGAATAATTAATAGCGTTGTCCGTTACATCAGGCCAGGATACACAAATTTGCTTTTGTATCGTTCAAAAACCAATAAGCAAAACCATAAAAATCTTAGATCAATCAACTATATTTCAGCCATGCAACGTCTTTGCCTATGAAGATTGGTAAACTTAGACTAAGATTAACCTTACAAATCCATCGTAAATACGATGTATTTTTCAGCATTTCCAATGGCTTATACCAAGGAAATCAAATGAATTTTCACGACAAAAACAAGCAGTGAAGAGGTACCTTTTATTGATTTTTCCTTGACGTCTGATGGCGCTATATCTTATGGCTATCGTACAAGATCGACTTAAAAAGAATCCGGCGTCAAAAACTAAATACGCTCTAATCATCACCATGCTCAAGTAAGACAGCTTCTCGTTGTATCCTTTAGCCTTGACATATATACCATTTGGCGATACCTGTTAATATTACCACAAAACCTGAGGCGACGAAATTATAATGATTGTACCTGTAAATAATTTCCCATGAGTAGAGTGATGAGGTCACCGCGTATCCCTTCATGTCATATATAAGACTTCTCAAAGCTTTAAACTCTTAACGTTTTTGCTGAGACTATCACCTGGGTGTTATGGTAGCGTAGCCAGCCCACAACTTTAATCCTTCTACGATTCATAGCATTATCGTTATTCATTTCTTTATAAATCTACGTAATGTCTTTGCATTCAATGATGATGACATGTACCACTTGAAGAAACGTTTGGAATGAAATATTTACTTTTTACTATGTGTCAATTGCTTTCTGTGTTCACTAAAGCCTGGTTCTCATTAAGTCGCTTGAGTCATCCGAGTCGTTTCGCTGTTTTTCAAAACGACAGGGACTACTCAAGCTATATGCTTCTTATATATTCATACTAGCGCTGCCAGGACTAAAATAATTTTTGCGCGAAACATTTAAAAATGAAGGTTGCTGTTTATCAAAGACAAAGCCTTTTGGCTAGTTAATTTATTCTTAAAATCGTTTTTGACACAGAAAGGTCGCTTGCATTTCTTAACAGTCGTTTCAGTCGTCCGGATAGAGCAAAGTTCTATCTAAGCGACCCTGGTCGTTTTAGTCGTGTAAGTCATTTGAAGTCATCCCGGTCGCCTCTAAAATGTTCTCATATAGTCGCACGGGTCGTCTGTGAAATTTTGGCACGACTGAAACGACTCAGACGACTATATGAGAACCAGGCTTAGGTCACTATATGGCAGACGTAATTATTGTTGATGTCAAATTGTTTAAATATGTTCACGGATTAAAGGTTACGTTGAAGATAATTCCATGTATTTTATCAACAAGGTCATCTTCAAGGTACCCACAAACAAATTTCGACAAACACGCATGGGCCATTATGATATCATACCCAAAACACACAATAAGTTGAAACTTTCCAATTGTGTGTTTATATTACGTACAGATAGTGTATCCATGCAGTTCGAGTTGAAGTTTGTCGCTCGCATTACAAACTGACGCCGAAAAAAATTCCGTGCATTTATAACATCAGTGGAAATTTAGTTTATTATAAAAACCTTTATTTGGCTTTTATGTATTTATGAAATAAATTTATATGAAACATATTAACTACGAAACAGCAATCTTGCGTGACTATGTTATTATAAAGTGAGTACGTTGCAACTCAGGGGCCAGTTGTACGAAGCCTGGATAGCGTTATTCATTGAATAGCAAAATTTTCAAACTTGTAAAAAAGGTGTTTATATTTATTATGCGACAAAAAAATTTCGTAATCTTCGAAACAATATTTTAATTCATTGATTGCTCATTTGGAATCTTATATTTCAGGCTTTTTAAAGGTTTTATAAAAGTTGCTATCCAATGGATAACGCTATCGAAGGCTTCGCGCAACCGGCCCCAGACTTTTAGCAATTTAGAACATCACTACCTTATTGTACTTCATCAGCATATTCTCACGTGGGATGTGAACGTGATTAAAACATAAAAAACCATTATCGATAGTGGCATAACCCATCTTTGGACCGATGTGACCCAATTTGATTCCTTAAAATAACAGATGACATAATAATGATTTTAAGGATTAATATTATGTATATCCTCAAAGGATTAATATTGTGCCTACTATATCACTTGTAATGTTTTTGCAAAAGCTTGAAAAAGTAGTCAACAATTTCGAAACAATTTTTGAGAAATTGACAAAAGCGTTTGAAACGATTCAAAAGTGGCTGTAAAACCTGCAGGTGATACAGGCACTTTATGGACAAGTAAATATGTCCGCTTCCTTTTTCGAGTATTAGCTCAAAAAGAACTTGCTTCCTCTACACTCTCAATCCTATTAAAATGAGATTGAGCATAATAGGAAGACGCACTCGATCGAAATTACGAAAACAAACGAACCAGGTAAAACGCTGTGGTCTTCAAGGCTGCGAATTTGGACAACAAACGGGTGGATGCCATGATCCTTGCCCGTCGTAATCAATCTTGCCATCAGAATTACGTGCGTTGCGGTATGTCCAACTAGAGAACAGATTTCATAAAGAAAAGCACTCAACTCAGTTACAATATTGTGGAATATTTTATATAAACTTAGAAAACACCATTGAGGCTGGGGATGGTTCATTTTGTACGTATGGAGAGAAAGAGTGTGCGTGTGTGTGGGGTGGGGTGTATGATGAATACATACATTTGCTTGTAAATAAAGCAACATATACCATTCCAATATAAGGCTACCCTTTTTAGAATAAGATGAAAATTTGCTAGTAAATAGGGGATTACTGATAAGGCATTCGGCCAAACGTTACTGCTGGTACTGATGAAACTATACGTAGCTTTGCTGTTGCAAACGAACAATTAAATACGAAAAAGAGTATGCCTGAGACTGGACTGAAATTATACAAGTTGAAAGTAGTATAAAGGAGTATGGATACTGTAACACCAAGCAGCTGAAGTGTATGCAGGGCCTTGGCACAAACATACGTACTGGAGCCTGGCCACCACTTTGTAGACATCAGGGTAGGACTGTGAAGAATAAAGGTTTCTGTAGAAGGGTTGTAGGTTGCCGTCGTTTCTAAGGCTCGCACATTTGTTCCTAAAAGACAGAATAATTGTTGAATGGATAGAATTATTGCATAAGACGTACATGTCATTTTGTGAGTTGATGGAGAAATTGGAATAAAAGGGGGGGATGGCTTTCGACTGAAAACACGCCGTAAAAAATGACACTTTAAAAACGAAAGGCAAAGGCCTGAGCCGAGCACCGAAGGAGCGAGTGTACCTAGGGAGTTCTCAGAGCGTGCTCCACCGGAAAATTTTTAAATTACGAAGACGTAAAACATCATTTCCCTGACTTTGGGAAGTGAAATAGCTAATACTAAGAGTATGATTTCAAATGCGTTTTCTAATTTAAAACGCAAGGCGCTAATACGCCAGACTAGTAGTAAGGTATTGTTCCGGTTTTATTGACATTGGTCCATGTACAATAAGTACAGTCGAAGATTTCAATCGGGGGCACCATTTGGAAATGTCGTAATACAATCACATTCTAATTAACAAGCTCTTCAATATCCAAGATCAAGAAGAGTGGGCACCCTCCTTCTGGACTGCCCTCGTATAAAATGCTAAATGGGACAAAACATTACGTAAAGAAAAAAAATACACGCAAAAATTTAAGGCAATGTGCCAAACTGTATGAATAAAATCATCCACAGTGAGTAATGGTTGATTTCATAGGACAAAATGCTTTTGAATTGCGAATGAATTTCTTGAAGTACACATATGGTTATCATTGATTATCAAATGGTTCCTTGTGGATGTCAAAAATGATTCAGCTCACCATGCCCCAATTCAGTTTGTGCATAGCTGCCGATAATTTGATATTTTTCAATCAAAGGCATCCATTTTTTGAGTTGCTCTGAAGTACTTTGATTCTGAAAGAAAGTTTGACATGCAGTTAGTCTCCATTTAGACCATCTGGATCAATTGTTTTTATTTAACACTCATAAAAAATGCCCACAGTATGACCATATTACACAAAGTGGGAATATGGCTGGAAGTTAACTCAATTATGTATGATTCAAATATCACAAACAAAAAATAGATTATTCAGTTGTATCATTAAAACTGAAGAGATTCATACCGCACAACACTGAATTTCTCTACTTCTGATGTCACAATATACATACCAAAAAGCTTACCTTGATCATTGTAGTAAACATTGACCGATGTAAAGCAAATGGGGCAACCTGTATCACCATACTAAAAAGCAAAGTATCAGTTTCATATGACCATGTTCATCAAAATAAAAAAAGGTGTCATGATATAAAATGGCACACCTGACTATAATGTACACACAATGATAATGTATTCATGATGAAATATATATTAAGGATATCAAATGGCACACATGATTATAATGTTTGTATGAAGTGTACTTTAAGGATAAAAAAAGGTAAACATGTTAATGTACACACAATGATGTATTTATGCAAAAATGTGTAGGATAACAAATAGTACACATGATTATAATGTACACACAACGATAATGTATTTATGAAGAAATATGTATCAAGGATAACAAATGGTACACATGATTATTATGTGCATAATAATAATTGGAATTAGTTATGTCAAATGGTGACATATATCTTACATTATGAATGACAGTGAACTCAATACGCAAACAACTACCTTACTTAGATCAAACTAAATACTTTTTCTTAATAAAAACTTCTATTTATTTAATGGATTTTCACAGCAAGTTTGTTTTGATTGAATAAATAGAATGTGATGGCTAACACAACCCCTCAGTTTTCTAGATGTCCATGCAAGTGGCTAAACCATTTTGCAAACATGACACAAAAATTGACTTCAACAAAATACATACAAACTCAACTACTGATAATTATTTGGGCAGTCATATAAACCCTGCAGACAATTTGAGCCAATGTCCACAGCACCAAAAGAATAACTTAAGTGAAGATAAATCCCAAGGGTTGTATACATGGAATGTACATATATGCATCTTCATTATGAAAGTTTTTTCAATAATAAGCCAAACCAGAAATCTGCTAAACCATCACTTACTTACGACATAAAATTTGTACGGATGGATGCAGCTTTTCGAAGTCAATTTCTTTTTTAAGCTTCAAAAATTCGATTTCGGCTTTTAATGCATTTTCATAGGACTCTTCGATTGTTAAAAAATATGCGTTGGAGTTGTCAAGCTGAGGATTAGATACTACAAGATTTTCTGGAAACGAAATGAGGAAAAAAGCCCAAGACAATTATACTTCATGGCGAACGTTCATCGCAGTCTTTAAAGACTTTACATACCAAAGTTTTTCAGGGCTGCACAATTATCTTCGCCTCTATAAAGAAATGCTGACAACTCATTTGGGTCAAAACTTGCAAGAGCCCGCTCACGTTTCAACTCCTCGTTCATAGTTTCAAAATCTAAGTAAAGATATGTTGTACTATATAAAATTAAGTTACAATTAATGAATATCGAAGACCAAAACAAACCAAAACACCTTGTCTCAGTTTCTGTCGTTGGCTCTGAGCCCAACCACTGTACACACATGACTCACGTCGCAACAATATTTTGAAATAGGTACACAAGGCGTACATATAGGTATTTGATATTTGGTATACATTTCTTTACGAAACTCGCACTCTCTCGCACTCCGAGACTACCAACCTTGAACAAGAGGAAAAGTGGTATTAACGTGTGCATTTACACGATATAAGATATTACAAGAAGTAATATAGAATAAACATAAAACTGCAAAATCAAATTAAAATGTTACAAAGATAAAAGAGTGCTAAATATCTGTTCAGATAAAGCAAGCGTAAAGATAAATTTAGATAGTTCTCTCTCGAACTGAAGCTCTTCATGATTTTTCAAAATATGCATTTTAGACGAAATTAGGAACGTGTTGATGATGATATAATGTAAGAATGAACAATGTGCTAGTGGCAATGTATAGGTGGTGTGTTACCATTCCCTTGAGTGAAAGAACAATGAAATGTTTGCCATGTTGGTTGACATTTGCATTGTAAATAAGGAGAATCATCGTTAAATTCATGCAACATGGCGGCCATGACTTAACTTGCATGCCAAGAATAGGGTGGTTTCAGATTTGTCGAGTAAAGGAACAAAATCACAAACAATGTTTACATAAAAATCCATGTACTAAAAATCCGGACAGATGATGTAAGAAAGAATAAATTACATACAAGTTAGTAAGTTAAGACTCTGTCTCATTACAAGTCCCTGCTATCTGTCTGCTTGTACATTGCTTGCCGTAATGGTTAAGTAACTATGAAATACAGAGCTGCTTATGAAGATTGTCCTTTTAGTTAACTTTCTTTGGAGTATTCTGTTGATTCTCGCGAAATAGAGTTGCATTGATAGAATCGATTACATAGAAGAATTTCTTCATCACGAAAAATTTGAGTCGGAAAACGTTCGACTGTTGTACATCTGTTGTCTAGTGCAGGCCTGTAGACTGGTACAGGCTTACGGATCGATGTTGGCCGATGGGTTACTGCTGGTTTATCGATTGGTGTAAATCTGTACCTTGGTATAATACTATGGACTGATGTTTTCCTGCCGACCTGTGTACATCTATTGGCACATGTAGGCCTGTAGGTCGGTAAAAAACTAATTGGTAACGAGAAATTTGTAGGATTGGTTTGTTTAGACTTGACGTGCTGCGGAGGAATTTCGACATTAGCCATCTCAATATTTCTTTCACATTTAGCAGAAGAGTTATTATAATCAAGTTCTCGCCTTACAGAAGACCATCTGAAGGAGAAATAATCGTCAGCTATATTTTCATTCTCCTTGTTCATTGTCCAGTAACTTGAAGATATCACACAAAGGTAACTCAATGAAAGGGAGTTGTATTTTAATGTGTTCTTTACGACAGGACGCAATTAGATAATTTACAATTGGCGTGAGGCGCGCTCCAATTTGGTTTGCCTCGATTCTGTACACATACTGGAAGATAACTTGCTACTTTTGCTGCTGTCTCCGGATGTAGAGCAGGAAGTGACCACAAGTGAAGTGAAACGATTTTCAGCGTTTTCTCTTTGTAGGGAAGTCATGCTCCGAAGCTAACAAGCTCGTTTTAAGCTTGGTGTCAAGTCGAATGTTTTGTTTAATTGTGCATTGTCTCTAGTCCGCCTGAATTGCTGCAAGCAATTGCATACGTAGTTTGCAGTTCTTTCAAAAAGAAATCGTTTTCACACGTGACTCTAAGGGCTACACCCGATAACTATCGTAGCAGGTTGAATATTCTTTGTATTAAAAGCAGTGAAATTGTTCGGAAACACGATCAAATAGATTAAATCTATCAGCTTAATAAGCTTTTACTCCGAACAGTTGCCCTTTAAAGCAAATGAAGATGTCGTGATGAGCGAATCCGGTATTGTGTAAACGCAGCCTAAACCATTGATTCAAATTTCAATTTAGCATCTCCTTGATGTACCACTTTGCTTTGTCTAATTTTATTGTATTGCAGTTATAGTTCTGTTACGCAAATTTTAAAACATTAGCTTTAATAAATTTTTGAGAAATTTATTGTTTTACACTAAGTGAATTCTTGGATTTCAACCAAACTACAGGGAATTATCGAACAATATGGCTTGCCCAAGATGATCGGTGCCCACAATAGCATTAATAAAATATCCTTTTGTATTTGACCATCAACATGGTGGCAATGTCGTAACATTCAATCCACCTATACGGACAAATTAGAATAGCAAGACGAAAGAAGGTGGCTATTGCCTACATATACCATGGCCTAGTGTAATATTTTGTTATCTCACGTAATGTATAATTTGTTTATTTAAGTTTTTACTAGTGAGCAAGAGGTTTTCATGATACTGAAAAATAATACTAAAATTTCTTCAGCGCAATGTGTGCGTTTTTTGTCCAAATTCACAAACCGTATCAATGATTGATTACGTTATTACATTCACCAAATAAATTTCAAACCGTGTCAAAATCACGAGAACTTCAATTGCATTGCTTTAATCACCTTTGAGTATCAAAAGAATTATGAGTTCTTCCGAGCGTCATAGTAATGCAAACGTCGACATTCCTTCTTGCGAAAAGTCTATCGAGGAATCTTCAGGAGAACAGTCTTGACATTGGGTCAGAACAGCAAGGAAGATATTGACCCATCAAAAAGTTTGTCAAGAGAATTGGAAAAAGGTCAATTTACTGAGCTTCAAGAAAAACTAGATTGCAGATAGATAAATTTTCTTAAGATGGCCATTGCAAGTTCACGACATAAAAATGACGAAAGAATATGAAGTATTTAGGTTTTTATATGACAGATTTCCTTACTTTTCTAGCTGTACGTTCGATTGTGGTGAATTAATTCGACAAAACTTATCGCCCGAAGAATGCTTCATTAAGTTTCCTAAGCCACACCACGATGGACGCACAATCTACAATTGGGCAATGGTCCCAGATGAAAGAATAAATGTATGCACACCGTGCAGCGTGCGGTCTTCGAACAGACCTCCTACAGTTACGTCATTTGGACCACATGGCTATTATGAGTTCACCGCATGAAAAGCTGATTATGGAAGAAATCTGTGATTTTATTGTGACCAACTTTCTTTACTTTGTAAATCATCCGGACAACTAACGTGCTTGTGTTCAACGAACCCTTAAGGCCGATTCCATTACCGTCGTTTTGCCCGCGCGTGCAGTGCGGACACGTTTTAGCATTCGAACGTGCGTTCAAAAACAATCTCCAGTAAACTTTTTTGCGTGCACTAATTTAAAAACTTGTCAAAGATGGCAGCTTTAGTTAGAAGACTATTGACAATTTAACACTGATATAATTAAGACGGCCAATACAAAGAAAGAGTACAGAAAACGATATTGGGTAAGGCAATTTTATTCAACCATGGGCTTTTGTTTCAAATGTTTTGAATGACACCAAGAAAATTTGAAGTGATTCTTGGTTTAGCTGCCCAAAGCATCAAACCCTGGAAAACAAGACGAGAAGCCAGTGGAAAACAAGACGAGAAGCCAGTGGGCAAGACGAAAGCCTGACAGTAACACCACAGAAAAGATATCTTAACAGAAGATCCACTCTTGTCAGAACCTTTGATATTCGTGTTCACCCACTTTTCTGAAACAAATTCTAAAGGAGACACGCCTTCCAGCAAGATACTTCCACCAGATCGCAGTAGAAAATATAGTTTTTTTTAACGAATATATCATTTGCAATACAAAAATTTGGAACCTTATCTCCTTCCCAAGATGATAACTCTTTGTACAAATTTCGGCAAACGTTTGCTTTAAACGTGAATAATTAGTAAAATAACATTCTGGTGGAATACTATTCCATATTGATTTTGTGAAAGTATCTTGCTGGGAAGTCACGCATGCGTAGTGAAAAAATACGCCACGATTTTAGCCGAGTGGGCCTTCTGTTAGATGTTTATTCGCAGTAACACTGAGGTACCAAGTTACTCGAGATACTTTTATAACTAGAGCAGCAAGCTTAACTTTAATCACGTGCACCATGGTTCGCGCGAAATCGTCAAGACAGTTGAAAATTTTTAACTTTTCAAAGCGTGTGCACTAGTGTACGCAGAGTCCGAAAGAAGCCAATGACGTAGTTTATATCGCATGCCCAAACGTGCACGCTCCGCGCGTGCATGCATAGCGACCGTAAGGAAAATCGGCCTTTTCAGGCCACGACACCTTCGTTAAATTACCTACAGAGAAGAAAACCATCTACTAGACAATACACACATACTTTTGTGACGCAAACGAAACTGCGATGCAAATGTTTGATACTGTTAACTTACCAATGCCACAAGAATGGAATAAACAGTCCAAAGATATTCAAGTGAATGCTTGTTCTAAAGTAAAAAATCCTTCAGTCAGCAACAACTGTTCACGTTAGTCAAGGTCGACGTACTCCACCAGTTCAAACCTTAATATTGGAATAACAACCATATCTAGCTATACCATCAATGACATTCTGTCATAACCACCTGTCTCAACATTTATCAGACATCTTACATCAAGTACAACGAAAGTGATGCCCCATCACTGAGGGAGGTGTACAACTCAAATAATCAGCATTTAGCACCGATTAGAGAACCAACAGATAACGAGGAAAACCTAATTTATGATGGTCAAAGCACAAATATGGATGAAATAAACTAACTTCCTTGAATCATACACCAATGTTTTTCTCTCATATAGCAATGTAACCCTTTTGTTTTCAACTCATTAATAGATATGTCATTGATACGCATTTTATTTATTACAAACTTTTGTAAATCATCCTGTCAGAATAATCAGCATTTTTGCCAAGTTATTTTTGGGAGCATTAATTACATTATTTATAACAATGGACCATTAATTTTGTCTCATGAACAGTGATTCGGACGATTACATTGTGTAATCATTTGGATGTATATGATGAAAAAATAAAGAAGAAAGGAAATAAAAACTTGTTGATTTGAACATATATAAAGATATAAAAAGTGGAGAATCTTTTGAACGAAAAATTTGAATTATTAATTTGCTGAAAGTC